CAACAAATAGGAAGACAACTAGATGAACATTACTCTCTTTCAGTGTTTTCATTTGAAAGGCTAAAAAATTAGATTAGCAGGGTAAGGTGTCCTTTTGATCCTTTAAAAATTCCACTATTTATTCAGGTACAGCTGCACCATCCGGATTAAGGAAGTTGTTTGTTCATCTCTTCTGTATTCGTTTTAAAGCTATTCACAATTTTCCTGTTTTCCTTCATCATGGCTTTAAGCAAGTTAAGGGTTTAAATTAATGTTTTCCTTTTGGACTTGGGATGCATTTATGTCAGTTACCGCCACAGTTTTAGAAAATATATCTTCCCCAATCCCATGTTTTGAAAGATTGCTTCCTATCTTCCGGGATGTTGTGAGTCATTTCCTTTTGTGTTTATGTTGAACACTCGTGCACCTGAAAGGAGGGAAAAATCACAGGCACTGAGCAAACAGAATAGGGAGAAAAGGTTTGCAGTGTAAGACTGAGAAGGTGGAAATGCTGTATTCACTTTTACACATTGCCTGGTGCTCTTTAGATTCAAAATGATAACCTTTATAATGAGGGAATTTAAAAATATATTAGTTTAAGTAAGAAAAAAGTCAATGATGAGAGGGAAAGGAGACAGAATATCTGTTTGACATTGCATAACAAAAGAAAAGACATATAGTTGGTCTGAGAAGTGCAGAGGTTCAGGGCATGGCAGAAGGCCATTGAGACAGGCATTCATGAAGTTCCTCTTTGTGTCCACGAAGAGCTGCTCTTATTCAGAAAACTTATGGACGATTCTGCATTTGTGAGGAGCGACTGGAAGAGAATTTGAGTATCATGTTTAAAGGAGTCTGGAGCGCCTTGGTGAGCAGATGGGCTGTGCCTATTAAACCCAGCTGAGTATGATTCATGCTTGACATGTGTGGGAAGTGTACCTCATGATATAAATAAAGGAAAAGGCAAGTTTCAACCTGAGTTAAATTGAATTGTCTGAGACGGGTTGTTGATTAACGTCTGAGGCTGCTGAAAAATTATGAAGGGGTTTTCTATGAAAAGGTGATGTTCTGTGATATCATAGATGACTATTCCATTTAATTGCTAGGAAACCAAGATGGGGAGATGCTTGGTTGCTGATAGCCACGAATTGAACTTTTGTTTGAGGATAATGCTTGAGAAATTAATATCTGTCCAGAGTGCTACTTGAGACAACTTGAGGATGAAAGCTTTTGGTGTAGGGGTGTTTTTTTTAGATTCTTTGGATTGGTAAAAAACATAGTTGTTTTAGAATAGGTAGAAGAGATTGTAGGCATTAAGTTTTAAAGACCATAAATTAATAGATACATTATGATGAACCAATGGTGCATTGATATATGGTGGCCACTGAAGTTCAACACTATACGCACAAGTGGATTTCTATACTGAATTGAGAAGATGTTATCTGTATTAGCACAATGTGTAATTATCTTAGTGAGAGGGCTTTGCTTTTATGTACAGCCATAAAGGGAAAGACACAATTAGGATTTGAATCTGTAGTCTTTCTTGAACTAGTGTGCTCATGTGCCATCACTTGGTTCGGGTTGAAGGAAGGAACTACAAGGCAACAAGTCCAGGAAGTTCCTGGGTGTAGAAGTTTCTGAGCTGAGCTTCCTCTTCTGCCCTGAGCATTGAGAAACATGTTCTTGCAAGCTACACACATCTTCATATTGTTCCTTGTCTGCTTCTGTTCCCACCCACCACCTCAAAGCTGTTCAGGAGCAGGGACAGAGGAAGGGGGGTGCGGTGGAGGCGGACCGCCCTGGGTGTCTTCGCTGAGGAGGGGTGGCATTTGGCACGCCACCTGCCTGCGATTCCCAAGCCTACCCCGAGCTGTCGGGGAAGGGGGGAGCTGCGCTGCTTTGCCGGTGGCATTCCCCCCTTCCCCCTTTGTTTTGACAGCTCGGGGGAGGCTTGGGACTCACAGGCGGGTGGCGCACCAAATGTCCGCCATCAGCAGGTCACTCTGCACCCAGTTGCAGGGTGTGTGCACTGCTCTGTGCACCCGAGCGGCTACCCCATGCTTGGGAGGGCAACCTCCGCACCCCATACCCCTTGGGAGTGTGCCCGCCCTGTGCAGCTCAGGCATATGCTCCTCCGCTGTTCAGGAGTGGGGTCTGAAAATCTGTAGGACAATTGGAAAGTTGTCTGAAGAAGGACATAGGTTTATAGTGTCTTTTATATGAATTGTTTTCCAGACTGCCGTAGGCTGTGCAATTTATGTAGCTGTTTTATGACTGAAAAATAGTAGGACTGGAAGATGAATGTTCTTTCAAGAGATGGATGAGGGATCACCATGTCAGCACTTGTTTGCCCCGTACATTACGGAAATCACCGAACATGAAGTTGGCAAGTTAGCTGAAAGAGCCTGCTGATGTTAAAAATACATTCTATGTTCAGGGTGGTGGTTGGTGATTGGTGATAAGCTTAAAATTAACAGATGAGTTGTGGATGACTTTGACATGGAGCAGGTGAATAGAAATATTTTAGAGATGTAATTCCATAAACTGCAAAGGAGACATTCGTCATAAAAAGTACTTCATCGTAGAGGTCATGATGAATTTCTCGCATGCCAAAGGAGGAAACTTAGTAACTTCTACAATTAATAGAGAGAAGGTAACTGTTAAAATTTGTGGGATGAAAATGTGGGGATTGGAGGACTCATAACCTCTTAGAAATGATTGAAAATATATTAAAGTGATTCTAAGTTGGCCTAAGTGTTGCACGTGGAAGGGTACACACAAAGTCTTCCTCTTACAGTGGGTAAAGCTGTAGATTGTTTCCCCCCAAAAGGCATGTAAGAATAGTTTGTAATAAATAGCTGGATTAAATGGTATGGGACTTTTAGTTTATGCAGCGCCTACAGATAAGTTTATCACAGTGAATATGAGACCGCAAATCCATTAATTAAAGATAAAATATATGGCAGGGTTAGTTGCTTAGATCCTTGAACTCAGAATGTTAATTAGAAATGAGATAAAAGATCTTAGTCTATTTGTATTTTGTCATCATCTGCTATAAATGAATATTTCATTAATGAAACAGCAGTGCTTGCAGTTGCTGCTGAGAAAGTAAGTGGTTGAAGCTTTTTGCTTTTGCTTTGGAGACCACCTGCTTTCAGACACCCCTCCCTACTGTCAGAGTATTCAGGGCAGATTCCAATATTTTTTTAACAAAATACCACAAAACTTCCAAAAATATAATACCTTGCATGGAGAACTTTACATCCATCACATTGCACATGAAGTCCCATCACACACATGCTGAACACATGGGTGATGGGGTGGGCACATGACCACTGGATGTAGTTGTGCCAGGGAGTAAGGTCTCCTTGACCCATGGAGTATGGCCGGACTGAGATCACTTGTGAAACTGTCACTGAATGAGATTTGAACCTGCTTATCCACAGTCCCAACTGGATGTTCTCGTCTGGTGAGCTACACATTATTCAAGTTGCACATGGTAATTTATGACAGCCTTGTAATTGGCTTGGTCGCCCAGAGCTAGCAAAAAAATCTGTTAAGATGCCAGGTAGGAAAATATAATTTGATTTATTGATTTTCATTAGATTATCTTGACCTTGTCTGGCTGCAGGCTCCTCACTTCCTTCTACATATGATGGCATACTGTCCAGAGGCATAAAAAGGAGGAACCAGATGTGTTGACTAATGATGGTGTCTGGATGTTCTGATAGTTTTTCTTTCATTTAGGATACAGATGACTAATATACTTACGTGTGGGATAGCAGATACATGAAAATGTTTATTGGCTAGTAGCTATAGTTTTGTGGAATTGCAAAGTTTACTTAAGCATTTTGGGGAGAAGTGAGTAGAAAGAGGTGCAGTCAAACTACAAAGTGTGATTGTAATGTGATATAAGATTATTATTTTTAAAAAATGTTTTCTGCAACTTATATTTTATATCTAATACTTGGTATAAATTATCATTGTTAGCATTGGTTGCCATTCTTTCATGACTAGTATGGAAAGCATTTAAAGGACATGGTAACCACAGTCTGCCTTCCCACTGCTATATAATTTGTTGATTATGAACAATCAGATGAATCAAATTCTTCAAGCTGTCTCATGCTCAGCGGCGTAGCATGGGTTATCAGCACCCGGGGCAAGGCAAGTAATTTGCGCCCCCTAACCCGGGGCAAGGCAAGTAATTTGCGCCCCCCAACCCGGGGCAAGGCAAGTACAGTAATTTACTCTCCCAAGCAGCAGCAGCGAGGCTTCTCTTTCCCCCGCGCTCTCCTGGAGCTGCCTCTTTTCTTTCCTTTTTTCCCTTTCTCCAAGGCTTTTCGCTTTCTCTCCTAAATTGATTCCTCCTCCACACCGCAGCGTTTCCTGGCTGCTCCCCCTCCCCCTCTCTCCTCCTCGCTCTGCTTGCCTTTCCCTGCCCTGCCTGAGGGCGCCCTGAGGAGACTCCGCTCTCCTTTTTAACCAGGCGAGGTGGAAAAAAGGGGGGGAAAGTCTCTTCCCGCCCCCTCGCCAGACTCCCTGCTCGGCTCGGCTCACTACCCAGGCGGCCAGTGGAGAGAGTCTTGAGCCGCTTAATTCCCAGCAAGGAATTAGCAGGCTCGCTCCACCTCCTCCTCCTCCCGACTTTGCTGCAGCTGCTGCTGTGCGGCTTTTTTCCTCTACCGACGGCACGCTGTGCCTTGGAGAGGTTCCCGCTTCCTCGAGGGGGGCCGGCCAAATGCGCCCCCCAAAATGTTGCACCCGGTGCGGCCGGCACCCCTGGCACCCCCCACGCTACGCCACTGCTCATGCTCATCTCTTGAACCAGAATGTATATTACAAATTGTGATCAACGCTTATTTGTTGTTGTTTAGTCGTTTAGTTGTGTCTGACTCTTCATGACCCCAAATAGCAGTAATACAGTTGGCTTTTTAAAGTTTCATCCTATATTTATTTGATCCATATTGTTAATTAGAATCAATTAGACCAACCTAATATTTCTCTTCTTTCTTCTCCCCTTCTAGAAATTAAGAAGCCACCAGTGGCCCCGAAACCAAAATTTGTGGTGGGACATAAAGTAGTGCCACCTCCTGTGGCACCTAAACCAGATGTTGTCCTTGCAGATGTTTTACAACCCACAAAGAAAACGAAACCAGCAATAGCACCAAAACCAAAGGTTCTCAATTGTTTGCCTGTTCCTGAGATTAAAACTGTGCCATCACCTTTAAGGAAAAATTCCAAGAGTTTAGAAGAATGCAAAATAGACTCTTCTGAGTACTTGGTTCATTTGAATTACAAAAATGGAGCCCCAAGAGAAAATACTGCTTATATTATATCTGTGTGTTCATGCAGTTTTGAATGCATGCATAAATTTGGGAATGGGGAGAATACTTGCAAAAATCCAACCATTTTTGAACAGCTGGAAAACTTAGAGAACATTGATAGAGCTGAACAACCATCATCATCTCTGAAATCTCGAACAATACTTGATAGCCATAATGGTAAAAGCATACATAAAAATAGGGTAATTTTAAAGGCTAATTTTTTAGATGAAAAGCTCAAAGATGTACTAACACAAAGTGTATGCCCCAATAACAGCTGTTTGAAGCAAACACCTTTGAACAAATTTGAAAAAGATAACATGAGTAGTTATAAAAAGGACATTAAAATTGAGTTTACAGACCTGGTTTCGCCATCATCCAGCTTGGAGGAAATGATGGGCAATTCAAGCAACCATGCAGAGATACCTGGTATCAAGTCTGAAATGTCAGGAAATCCTCTTTTGACTGAAAATATCAACAGTTCCTGTTGCTCGCTTAACACAGCACCTTTGGAAAAAGTCAATACTAGTGATTTGCACACAGGCATATCCACAAAAGGGACCGAAGAATCTTTATCTTCATTAAGAGTAGGCTCTGCACCATCCCCTAAATCTGCCCCAGTTCCAAAACCAAGGAAACTACGTGCTGCTCCATGTCTAATCCGGCAAGATGGCATAGATATCTCAGGAGAAGGAACAAAAGAGCTACTTCCTTCAGACTGCAGTTCTGCTGGGCTTTCTGAGCGTGCTGTTAGAAAAACCACAAAAATTAATGTTCTTTTTCAAAGTGTTTCCTATAACAACCGAGAACTTATACATGCACTTGATAAATCAGAGAGTCCTTCATGTGTTGCTGGGGAAATGATTCCGGAGGCAGAATCTGCTGAATCTGAAGAAATGATCCAGCAAAAGGTCTTGCCTGAAAGCCCTCACCTAGTAGGAAATACTGAGCAATCTTTAGACCTTAACTCAGTAAATCCTGCTGACAATATAATGGAACATAACTGCATGTTGGCTGCTAACGACAAAAAACCTGGATTTATAAGGTGTAGTAATCTTTCCATGAGTTTGCCTAAGCAAGTGAAATTATCGTGCAACCAGCATTTGCCTGCCTTTGAAAGCCTAGATGATTTTGCACAAGAGAAGGAACATAAAGGTGCTGAAGATAAAGATGAAAGTTCACCAAGAGTTGTTCCTAAGAAGCCTCAAAGGCACAGCATTCCTGCAGCCGGACTATTGAAAAAAGCCGCATCAGAGGAACTGATAGAGAAAAGTGCCTACATTACTAGTGAGCAGAGAGATTTAGATCCTCCCTTGGAGCGACCTCGTATAAGGCATTTGTCAGCCAAAGAACAAAGTACTTTGCAATCCTGTGATGCTCCAAAGTTGTCTTTGGAGAGACCTGTTTGGAAATTACCTCATCCCATTCTTCCATTTTCTGGCAATCCGGAAGCCTTAAAAAACACCAAGAATGCAAAAAACACTCAGCTTGCAAGTGCTGTGACAAAACCTCGAGCCAAATCCTTGTCTTCTGTAGATATGGACAGAATACACCCAAAAGAGCCCCCAAAAGAGCCTCAAAAGAAATATTCACTAAAGAAACTTCTAAATATGAAGCTGTCTGTTTGCTTAATGAAAAGTGACTTCCAGAAATTTTTGACCAAGGGTAGCCAGTCGGCGGATAACGGCACTGTTACTTTTTCCAGTGATGAAGCGCGTGGCAAAACTCGGAATGCAGCTAGTGCAACAAATGGAAGGAAAACTAAACCCTCAAAGGCACATTCTGCAGAAATGGGCAGCCTATCCTCACAAAAGGGAAAGCAGAGGTCCAGGGGTCAGGATGAATCAACAAATAGCCAGAGATCACAGTCCTTGGATGAACAGAGTTTCCTATCGCAAGGACATGTGGATTCTCTTACTCATGACTACGTACCAGAATATGAAAATGTGAGCCATTATGAAGAAATCCCAGAGTATGAAAATTTACCTTTTGTGCCAACTGATAAAAATCCGCCTTTTGAGTGGCACAATTCTAGCAGTGCTGAAGACCACGATTCTGATGTGTATGAGGTACAAGAACTGTATGATGCAACAAGGAGTTGTTCAGAGTTTAGCAGGTAGGATACTGGAGTTGGGAGCAAATCATATACATTTTGGTGTCCATCTACACAAACAGTTGGTTAAACTCCTTCTGCAGACTTTCACAATGCAATCCTGTGTGTGTCATAATATATTCCATCTGACACACTCCCGATTGTATCCTCAAGGACTGGGAAGTCATATTTAATGAATTACGTTGGCCATATCACTCCATATTTTTGCATCCATACATGATCATCCCTGGTTAGACACTTAATGTTGATTTAATGCTGACTTCTTGAGACTGTGACCAAATAATGTCTGTAACCTACTTCTTCATTATAGCTCAGTTTTGCAATCTTTTAATTCTCCCTAATAATTCTGGTTATTTCCCCCGTGCGATTATTAGGAGTGACTGAGAAGACAAAGCCTGTCTTTTATGCATAAACTGGAGAAATGATTCTCCAAGGAAATTGTCATCTCTTACTGCAACATTTTAATCAGTGTTCTTTAAATCTTTAGCTGGATCAGGTGGAAAGGCAGATAGGGTTCCTTAACAGTAATTCCCCACATAGTAATGTTGTTCATCCCTGCCCTCTTACCTGCTGTGCAGAAGAGGCCTCCAGGTGCTTTTTCTCCTGTTGCAGCTGGATATGTACACCTGGTGTATGTGTGCACAGGCATGTCCATGGAAGAGTTGGACATAAATTGACTACAGGGAACCTTTTTTAAAGCTATACAATATATGTCTTAAATTGTTTGTACCATATACAGCCCAGGGACTGTTAGGCATATACATGAAGTTTTGAGTAATTTCCACAGGATACTTTTACCAATTCATGCATTTCTCATAGAGGAAGGAAGATCTGCACCCCAGTGCCCAGATCGCCCCACCATAATGTGCATGTAAGGAATAAGCAGCCTGTTTTATTTTGTTTTAAAATAGCACCATAAACTTTAGCAAACAGAGTAAAACTTTTTATTAGAAGTAAAGAGTAGCTGAAGTATTCTTAAAATGTACAGTGTGAATAAACCTTTCATAAGTCCTAGGACAGGGGTCAGCAAACTTTTTCTGCAGGGGGCTGGTCCACTGTCCCTCAGACCTTGTGGGGGGCTGGACTATATTTTGGAGACCCCCCCCCCGATTCTCCCCGTCCCTTCTCCACAGCACCGGACGAGCCCCGGTGGCCGCTTACCTGTGCCTTGTGAGCGACAGGGGCTGGCGGCGGTGGCAGAGGGACGATGAGCGGCGTGAAAGGACTGGCTCTAGAGAGGAGCTGCTTAAAATGGCGCTTAGCCAACCACGGCTCAACAAAGCGCAGCCCCCTTCCTCCTCTAGGCAGGGCGGGGAGAAGCCAGGAGGAGGGAGGGAGGAGGTGTTGCCATGGTGTGTGGGGGGAATGGCGCAGCCTGAATGATCAGAATCCCCACGCCGATCCACGTGGCGATTCCCAGAGTGTCTGCGGGCCGTATCCAGAAGGCAATTGGGCCGAATACGGCCCCCAGGCCTTAGTTTGCTGACCCATGTCCTAGGATATTCATTTGAACCCTGTCACATTTGATATCGGACCACAAAATTTTAATATCAGTCAACAGCTTTCACCAGTAATTTGCTGTGCAAATAACACAAAAAATATTACCACTACCCCTTTTATTTTAATAATTAGTAGTAACATTCTTCTTAAACCATAAGTTAGTTTGCTTTTTAAGCAGTACATCCTTTTATATAATTCTGTTCCAATGGCAGCTTCCCTCCTGGATTGAGTAGCAGCTTAGTGAGAGGAGGATTGCCAAACACCCCCCCCCCAAAAAAACATGATCTTCCTGTAAGAGCAATGTACTACGACACGGTCACAGAAGACACTTGTAACTTAAAAGAGTAGCGGAAAGTCTAACAAAATCAGAATGGATGAAAGGCCTCTTTGTACGAGTGGACAACAGCCTTTTCCTGTATGTTATTTTCAGCAACAGCTAGCTCAGGAAATACAAATTAGTATTGGATTCCGCCCGCCCCTCCCCCTTTATGGTGACATTCTAATCCCTGTTTTAGAACCCCTGATTCTTGTTATTGTTTATAGTAAATCAGATTGTAAAAAAGGATTTCCTATGCATCTTGGATAAGGAAAGGATTCCACCCCCTTCAACACTGAAAGCCATGGGAGGTCGTGGAAATTTAACAGCAAGAGTAAATGGGTTCAAATGTTTTTGTGTGTTTGGTATTGTACTAAGGTAGTATTACCAGGCTGTCAAAAACTGGTGCAAGTCAGGAGCTTTCTAGATGAGCAGATAATCATATGGCAAAACTGTTTCAAGCTGCAAGTGGTGAACTGCAGCAATGACTGTTTCACTTTATGAAAAGCCAAATCACAAAATTCCATGCAGATGGAAAACAAGAGCTCTGACAAGAGTTAGCCTGGTCTTCTCCTTAACATGTTAGTTTTATGTTTGTATAATTGGAGGTAGGGTTATTCTTATTATTAGTGCCATTTGTCTAAATACCCTCTCTATGGAATTGAGGGCCATTGTTAACTATGTTGGAGCCGTGGTCCAGGTGTTTAACTAAACCGAACCCTTCATCATTGCGGCTCAGTAATTTTGAAGATTAAGTTCCCAGGGAGATCAGAATGAGTTACAGCTGTATACTTAACTAGTAGGGATGGGTGCCAAGTAAGGTGCACATCAAGGCAGGAATAGCATGACATTAGTAGCACATAAAAAGACCCAAAGCAGTGCCAAGATACTGAAAGCTGACAAAAGCCCTGTGGTGTTCAGACCTGTTTCCCTTATTGCTTTTACAGCTTCCACTAATGTGAACAATATGGTAACTTAGGAATTATTTAGACATGTCTGCACATGAGTTCTTCCTTTATTCTCTGTGTGCATAGAAATGTGGAGTGCTGATACTTATGCTTTGTTTGATAAGAAGCTAATAAAATATTAGGGCAGGGGGTTGCTCTGACATTTTTTATGCTATGCACAGCCAATAGATTCTGTATAGCACTTCCATATTGTTTTTCTGGCTATTTGGATAGCTACATGGGGATCAGAAAATATGCTAGCAGGAAATACAGGTCCATCATCATTCTACTGTGAATGATGTCATATAACTATTGCATAGACAAATGTTGTTAAGAAGCTGGTGTTAAAATGAACTGGGATTAGATTATATGCACAACACATCAAACACACCTCAAACCATAGTTTAAGACCCTAGTTAGTAAACTGGCATTAAACCACACTTAGCTAGTTCCCAGTTATGTCTGAAAGACCTAACTAGGATTGAGGTGCTAGCCTGGGGTCCTTTGAGAGGCAGGGCGGGGTATGAATTTAATAAATAAATATATTCTAAAGGGAGGAAAGGAGATAGTGGTCCCTGTGCTTATTCTCAGATGCTAAACTAAATTATGGTTTAGCTTGTTGGTGAAGGTAAATCTGAACTGGCCCAATATGTACCTGAACGTTTTGCAGCTTTCCTGTAGCAACTATCCATAATATTTATAAGACACACATTTTTATTCACAACCTGCAGCGTGAAACCTAATTAACAGACCACATTGGTATTTTGTTTCTTCTCTCCTTAAAGGAGGGGTGGGGTAAAATTAGGATGGCTTCACTTACAATGGGTTGGGTTTGGGTTCAGTTGAGGATCAAAAGCCACCAGGAGATCCTTTGTTGTTACAATAAACTTTTATAGAAGATTGAGTAGCACAGCCAGGTGAGATATAAAAGGTACACACTCTGGAACAGTTGATGTTGTGATGTTGGAGCATGCTGGGTGCAACTAGTCAACTGCACACATCCTCTGCTGATCAAGACTGCATTTTGTTTCATTAATGGGGCACCTTTTTCAGTTAAGTGACCACTAGGGTTGACTATGCAGCCATGAAGATTTATTTATAGGAGTCAGGTGTGCCTTTCTTTAATACTGTTAAGTGTACAAGTGTGTTTTTTTTACTATTGCTAAACTGTCTTAATATGTTTAGGAAGTCTTCATTTGTATTATGCGAACTTGACTATTCTTGCAATAATTTATGTGGACTTGCATGCATCTGAAGGTGGCACAAGGTAAAATTGTGTGTAATTGATAGGCTTTTGACACACTTGAGAGAGTATCCAGTTAAATGAGACTTCCAATGAGTATTTACTGTATACTGATAAACTACCGTATTTTTCGCTCTATAACACGCACCTGACCATAACACGCACATCGTTTTTAGAGGAGGAAAACAAGGGAAAAAACATTCTGAATGAAACAGTGGATGTATCATTTTTGTGCTTCATGCTGTGGCCACAGACATGTGATCTGATGGTGAATTTGGGGTGACCCAATGCAAAAATCCTGAGAATTCCTGTGGATCCATGCTTTGTAACCACGTTTTTGCACCATTGCAGCCCCAGGCAACAGTGGGTGCGTGATTTTTTTGGTGCAGGCTGTAGCCATGGACATGCTATGTGATCTGATGGTGAATTTGGGGTGACCCAATGCAAAGATCCTGAGAATCCCTGTGGATCCATGTTTTGTAACCACATTTTTGCACCATTGCAGCCCCAGGCAACAGTGGGTGCGTGCTTTTTTTGGGTGCAGGCTGTAGCCATGGACATGCTATGTGATCTGATGGTGAATTTGGGGTGACCCAATGCAAAGATCCTGAGAATCCCTGTGGATCCATGCTTTGTAACCACATTTTTGCACCATTGCAGCCCCAGGCAACAGTGGGTGCGTGCTTTTTTGGGTGCAGGCTGTAGCCATGGACATGCTATGTGATCTGATGGTGAATTTGGGGTGACCCAATGCAAAGATCCTGAGAATCCCTGTGGATCCATGCTTTGTAACCACATTTTTGCACCATTGCAGCCCCAGGCAACAGTGGGTGCGTGCTTTTTTTGGTGCAGGCTGTAGCCATGGACATGCTATGTGATCTGATGGTGAATTTGGGGTGACCCAATGCAAAGATCCTGAGGATCCATGTGGATCCATGCTTTTTAACCACGTTTTTGCACCATTGCAGCCCCAGGCAACAGTGGGTGCGTGATTTTTTTGGTGCAGGCTGTAGCCATGGACATGCTATGTGATCTGATGGTGAATTTGGGGTGACCCAATGCAAAGATCCTGAGGATCCATGTGGATCCATGCTTTTTAACCACGTTTTTGCACCATTGCAGCCCCAGGCAACAGTGGGTGCGTGATTTTTTTGGTGCAGGCTGTAGCCATGGACATGCTATGTGATCTGATGGTGAATTTGGGGTGACCCAATGCAAAGATCCTGAGGATCCATGTTGATCTATGCTTTGTAACCACATTTTAAGTGGGGAGCGAAGGAAAAACAAAGAAGGGACATGAGAGGGGTGTGCAGAGAAGCAGCTGGCTAAGAATGCTGGAGAGGGATTTGGGGTGGGAGGAAAGAAAGGCAAAAGTTCCCCCCCAAGCCAGCCATCTCTCTCTCTCTCTCTCTCTCTCTCTCTCTCTCTCCCTCCCTCCCTCCCTCCCTCCCCCCCTCTCTCTCCCTCCCCCCTCTCTCTCCCTCTCCCTCCCCCCTCTCCCTCTCCCTCCCCCACTCTCTCTCCCTCTCCCCCAGCAGCACCGGAGCACAGAGAGGAATTAGAAAGAACTACACTACACTCTGCTTGCCTGGAGGGGAGGGGCTTTCCCTGCTCTTTGTTCCGTTTCAGCAATCACAGCAACGAAACAGAGGAGGGTGGGCAGTAAGACCCTGAGGCAGAATGCAGGAAAGCTGCCACTTCCTCTTTTCAGGTTTCCCTTCTCCGTGACTCGCGGTTTGACTTTTGCTTGATTTTTTGGCTCCAGGGACCACACATTCGCTCTATAACACGCACAGACATTTCCCCTTCCTTTTTAGGAGAAAAAATCTGCGTGTTATAGAGCGAAAAATACGGTAGCTGCTGGTTATGCTGTTAAGTTGGAAATAAGTATCAACTCCCCAGAACTGAAGCATCAGATTTGATATTACTGTGTGCAGATGTTGCTATTTCTTCTTGAAATGAAAGCTGATATATAAACAACAACAACAACAACATTATTTGTACCATAAAATAGTTTGTACACACACTCCCAACCATCCTTCCATCCAAGCAAGCAACATTTGCGTGTCGAGGTCCCCAGGTCCACCCCAATAACTCACACATCACACAGAAATTTTTGTTTAAGATTTTTGGCATAATTTTGGCCACAACTTGATTAAAATACAAATTGGTGAGTGGTTGTGTAGGCATTGGTTGCGACTATCTGCCCCCACCATGGGGGACAGACTGACATTCCGCACAATGCGAAAGTCAGAATGGGGGAATACACTTGGGGGTTACGCGGAGCAGGGAACCTGCCCTCACCCCAAATGCAACCAGGAGCTCATTGCTATGGCCCGAGCCCCCTTGACAGAGTGGACAAGCAATAGTTAGCTCCCAATTCCTTTAACGGAATCCCTTGCAGCAGCAGCATTAGAGGGGCAGGCACAGCCAATCCATGCCCCTCAACCAACCAAACCATAAACCAATGCCTAACCGCGAACCTTACAAGTTGTGTCGATTTGCTACGCAGTAGGCAAAAACCAAATGGCCCCAGCCAATCAGCCAGATGGACAAAATTCCTACCAGGCCCCCGCTCCAAAGCAGACGACCGCATGACAGGCATAGCAAGGTCAAAGCGAACAACCCTATTCTAGGGAGGGAGGGATGGGCAATCCGATGCATGGGCGAAAAGAGGAAGCCCTAGCCTCATGCAAGGAGTTTTAGCGTTTCTGGCTGTCAATCAATAAATGGCAACATTAACTTCTTCCCAACAACAAGGGAAGCCCAATCGCATCAGTGGCCAACGATCAATTAGCCCGCCCTCCAACTTTGGAGTGTCCTGGAGGCCCCCACTGCAACACGTGCTCTCCATGAAGGAGAACACGCTTTATCACAGTTCAGGGACACATTCCAGGCAGGTAAAAACACTCAAGAGGGGTGCAAAGTAGCCTGAGAAGAAGTGCTGTGCTGGGGGAGGGTGTAGTGTATGCCTTGGGGGCCAGAAAGAGAAGTCACCTTTGGTCCCAGGCCTGAGGTTCTCCTCTGGACTACTGTGACAAATATGCCCACTGTTAATCCCAGTAATCCTGCATCTTTAATCATTGTAAAAAGAAATCTTAAGATTTTGGGTTTAGCGAGATAAATATGCAAAATGTCTGGTAGCAGTCTCATTTTCTGATGAAATTATGCTGAGAGTTGTGGCTGGAAATATTTTATTCAACATAAATGTATTTTCCCTGGTTTGCTTTTTTGTTACCTGCTCTGAACTTAAAGTTAATAAGGCAGCACCTAGTGCAATATTCTTGCATTGTGATTGAGCTGATACTTTTTCAAGAAGTGTAAATTATTTAAGTTCGGTGAAAGAGACTCTTGCTGTGGTGTGTTGGTGTTTGAGAGACAGCTGGCTCACATGATACAACAGGGCATTCTTACTCAAAGACTAGTGCAGTGATTTAATGGTGACTTGTTTCACATGACTGCTAATGCAGAAGTTTCTCTTCCCAAAATAGCTTATATGCGGTAATCCTTGACACTGAAAACGTGGGAGATTAATATTTCAAAGGAAGTGGGTACATTTTACATTTTGCTCATTTTGCACGATTGAGCTACTTTATACCACTTCATTCTTTGCCAATTATTTCTAGGCCAATTGATTTGGAAGGCAAAAGTAGTTTGAAAGAACTATGCTCCCTGATCCTCCAAAATATTCAATAAATGTCTTACTAAGCAACATACTTTTTAAAAAATCATTTGATTATACGCTAGCATTAGAGGAACAAGTACCTTCATGATGTCAGAGTGGCCTTCCTCTCTGAGTTGCTATAAGAAGGTGGGTGTATCTAATGAAAAGTGACAGCATCTTGGGTCCTAGCAGTGTGGAGTCTCCAGGTGTCACTTAAAAAAAATTATTGTGGCAGCTGTCAGAAAGCATTTTTGTTTGCAGACTTGAGCTGACTTCTATAATAACTAGTGTGTATATAAATATATAATATACATCATCAGTGGAATCCTATACATGCCTGCTCAGATTGCCCTAGGAAGAGGGATTGGTTGCTAAGCCACAATTTCTAAATTGTAGCTCGGTTACGGGGAATAGGGGTATCCTAATAACTCTCAACACTCTTAAACTATGGCTCCCATAATTCCTTGGAGGAAGGCATGACTGTATAAAGTGGTATCATATGTGTAGTGTGAATTGGGCCACAGTCTTCTAGCACCATTGTACACTATGTTCTAAAAATATGTCCTTGAATCCATAAGAAACTAAATGAAGGAGGACAACTTTCATGGTTGTGTCACAGAAAATAAACGAAACCATGCATATAGAGAGATCTTGAGCTTGGTCCCAAACATTGACAAAGATATATTTTTGCATCTGTCTGGAAAATTTAAAAGGCATCCACCAAGATGTTTAGTTTGTAATGCTCTTCGAAGGCCATGATTGTAACCGTGAAACAGTCTTAGTAGCAGATCTTAAGTGGATTGCTCTCTCATTTCTTTGGGATATGTTAAAGAATTTAGGATTGTATTAGCAATGAAGTAGCCTTGTTTAATGAACAGTGACTATGCCTCAGCCAAAGCATTATAATACAACGTTTTATATTGTAAAACAATTGTTTCATAGGTCCTCAGTAGAAGTACTTGATGGCTCTGATTTGGTGTTGGAAGATGAACATTCAGATGATGAGATGCTACAGAGAGATGTTGATAGCTCTGATGATGACGATGATGACACAAATTCAGACTCTAGCAAAGGAGAGCCTGATACACAGGAAAATAAGCAGGTAGATATTGTGACTTGGAGCTTAGCTAACTTTCTAAATGGAGAGAATTTGGATCCTTTGTTTACTACTACTGGAGTATAGGACCAGAGCAACATTTTTCACCGTTCTCCCCTTTCTCAGTCACTGTCTCTCAACCAGTGCTCCAACCCTCCAGAGTAGATTTTTGAGACATGGCGATCAAGGGAAAAACACTGGTGGGAGTGGCTTGTTAGAACTTCTACCAGTGGCACATTAATTAGGATCAAAGCAAATGTGTTCCTCTGGCATTCTAATGTTAATTTACTTCCTCCATTTCTGTACCACCTCTTAGTATAAAAGGTAAAGGGACCCCTGACCATTAGTTCCAGTTGTGGCCGACTCTGGGGTTGCGGCGCTCATCTCGCTTTATTGGCCGAGGGAGCCGGCATACAGCTTCCGGATCATGTGGCCAACATGACTAAGCCGCTTCTGGTGAACCAGAGCAGCGCACGGAAACGCCATTTACCTTCCTGCTGGAGCGGTACCTATTTATCTACTTGCACTTTGACGTGCTTTTGAACTGCTAGGTTGGCAGGAGCAGGGACCAAGCAACAGGAGCTCACCCCGTCACGGGAATTCGAACCGCCGACCTTCTGATCGGCAAGTCCTAGGCTCTGTGGTTTAACCCACAGTGCCACCCGCGTCCCCCTCTTAGTATAAATGCAGGCAATTTGTCACTCATGTGACAGAGCAGAAAATGCACTATTTTCAGCACCAAAAGAGGGTGAGGCACAGTGGGGAATCCCCACTTGCACACATTCTGGGGATGTGAGCAGCAGCCAGGAACAGAACTCTCGCGTAAGTGGTGGTTCCCCTGTATCCTCAGCTCAGAACAATAAGAAAAGTACAGTAGGAAGCAAACAATAATAACATTATAATAATGAAAGTTAAAACATTGAATGGAATTGGTAGGAGTAAAATCATCACAGTATTGACTGGGCAAAATAACACTTTTCCATTAGAAGGATGCTTTGTTTTTTGTCTCCATCCATCCCTGGGTCCAGTCCAACTCAGCCTCCAAAGTTTACTCAAATTACTGCACTTGCCTGTTGCTATTAGGAATGCCTAGTGCCAGAACTTTGTGAGGCACAGATATAGTTAAAAATCTAATGATGTGCATGGAACATCCCTGGAAAGTCATACTGGACAATTCCATCTTCATTGGAAAGCTTATTGTGTTTCACAGGACATGTATTAGTATACATGGAACTTAAGACTTAATTGGCAAATATCATCTTCTTTCTCAAGCTTGCCTACCAAACATTGAATCTTGCAGTTGAGGATCAAATTTCCTTCCTTCCTTCCTTGACCGTTGCAAAACGTTGTGCAGCTGCAGAGAAAATTAAAAGCATGTATAAATTGTTAGCCAAACAAATATATATTTCTTGGCCTTGCCAAACTCTGATTAAAAACTGTTTGAAAGTGAAGACAATCAACTTTTTTAAAACCAGAGGCTGCGTGTTCTCATTATTAGACCATAATTGGAGAACTTTCTGTTTCCAGTTACGCTCAGTAACATCATCCTGACTCCAATTTCTTTCAACAGATAAGAGGTGCCATTTTTAAGACAGACTCCTAAGTAGGTAGTAGTGGAGGCAACTAGCAATTAACTGAACATTAACATTTTTTATGGCACCTAAACATGAATTCACTTGTATCCTTAATACTTGAAAGTGGAGATGAGTGTCACACCCCATAGTCAAATTTGACTGGACTTAACTGTCCAGGGGTCCTTTACCTTTTTTTACCTGAATACAGAGTACAGAGCAATAGGCCAATAAAGCTGTAGCAGAAAGAAACTAAGATTTAGGGCTGTTGCATTGTTCTGAAAATAGCATGTCTGCATTCTACAAAGTTTAATTTTATTTGCAGATTAAAGCAGCTGGCAAGAAAACAAAAGTTTATCATATTGCTAAAGAAATAATGAGCTCAGAGAAAGTGTAAGTATTGGTGTAAAATTTAATAATTTATGCATGGAAGCATGTATGTTTTTCCTTTGCGGTTGAGATAATATTTACTGTTCTTGTTTTTGTATTAGGTTTGTAGATGTTCTGAAGCTTTTGCACATTGTAAGTATTTATTTCACTTCATAAGCATGTTTGCTTCAAAGTTAATTATTTATGAAGTTCTTTTCAGAAAATGTATTCAACTGAGTTTCTTAAATGTGCATTCTTTTTTTAAAAAAATAGCCTAATGAAACAGCAATTAAATATCAACCCAAACTCCTGGAATGCTTCCTAATGAATAGAAGGAATAGAATGTTTGAGGTGCATTAATTTTCCTGTTGAAGTGCTGCAGGAAGTTTGAATGTTACAAACGTGCTTAGAATGTGTACTAGAATATTTCTAGGCCTGCAGATGGAAAGGTGGAAGGTCTAGCTGTCAGAAATCCTGGTGCATTCCCAGTTTGGTCAGAAATGCAGTAGAGCAGGAGGAGGGTGCTCTTCTGTGTTTTGTTTTTGCTTCTGACCTCTGAAAGCTCTTGTTTGTGTGCGCACAGGTGAACGTTTGTTACACACTAAAGAATTTATTAACACAAGTTTAATTTGTTTATGGTAGCTTTTGAGTTGCCAAGTAGTCTTTTGTGCTGGGATAGAAAATAGCATACTCTTACCAGCTCTGTGAACCCTGCCATGAGGCTTCATGACACAATTCATGTAACTGAGGGGGACAAGGGCAGACTCACCCTTTTAATGCCGAGTTCAGATTTATTGCTTCCTGTTGCCATGCGCCAGTGAAACAGGTTGTCACAGCCCTATCTTGCTGTCATTTTACCTGCATCGCCTTCTCTTAGAATGCCTAGGCTTGGTTGTGTATACATTGAAGAACATCCAAACTGAAGGAAATACTGAAAAGTAATACTTGTAGGGTGTGTTAATACTTAGCTAGGCATTAAAGGAATAGAGTTTTTCTACAGATTGTTTTCAAGTATTACAAGAAACATGTGAGCCTGACTTACTAGGCAGCCAGGTTTGAACCTGACGGTTCAGGTTTTGCTGATCCTTGGGCAATCAAAGTTCAGAGACTGAGGACTGCTTGCTAGGTCAGGGCTTTTTAAATTTCACAGTGAGTCTTCCATTAAGTAAAATAGAGCTGTTTGAAAATCTCCAGATGGAAAGCAAAGATCCCCACAGTCTGTTTTTTCTTCTTAATTTTAGGAGTAATTGGGGATTGTGGAGTCTGGTGCAGCTTTTTTAATTGTCAGTAGGAGCAAAGTATAGTTTGGTGATTCAGATGTAAATGAAAGCAACTGATTAAAGCAGTCTTCAAAATGGGAGGAAGGAGCATAGGTGCGTATGGATCTTTCATGTCAGTTGAGATGTTGACTTCACCAGGATTTCTCTTTGGTAAATGTGCTGGGCTTATAACCTCACAGTCCCAGTTAACAAAAGATTCCTTTGCAAATCACTTTCTGCTAGCTCTTCTAGTTGGCCAGTAGTTGGGAAGTGTGACAAAAGAACTTTAAGGTTATAGGATGTGTGTGTATATATACGGATTACATGACATCAGGCATAATGAAATGCAATTTATATATAGTGGTAAGTTTTTTGAATTTAAAAAAAGATGAAAGGCAGTATTTGATTACACCACTGCTCCAACATTTCTTGCAAGATGATGCAGAAGTTGTTGGGGTTTTTTTTTGCTTTAAAGTGGCAGTATATGAAACTGTACCTTACTAGTCTGTAATTCAAGACTGCAGCACCTGTAACCCATTAAAATTTAATAGAGTAATTGAGCCTTTCCTGGGACTCACCTAGGAGCCACATAGGCATGTTAGAATCTGCATATGCATGTCAGAACCTGAAGTGACTAGGCAGTGGCTTCTGAAGATGGACAGATGTACTTTTTATATTAAAGAATGAAGAGGGAAACGTCTTCAGTGCAAAGTGTTGCACTGCTGGAAGCCTGTAACGAATTTTGCTGTATCTGTTGATTTGCTGCCTGTTTTGCAGCTCTAAAAGACACCAGACCTCTCTGTTAAGAAAGAAAGGCAGTAAGCTGCAGTATGCGCTTCAGAAATGTGGTGAATAATTTTCTCGTCTCTGGTACAGCACAAACAATTGAATTTTCTGCCTTGCCTGCTCCTATTACAAGATAGTTTTACTCCATCCTTTTGTGGGAGAAAGATCGCATTATGTGCTGCACTAGGCTCAAGAGTTTTGGATCACTGGACCTGCAGTTGCTCAGGCAGAACGTTTTGCTTTTCCACATAGCATGAAGCATACATCTGTTCTTGTTTTCTTTTGCGGGAGGAATGTATAAGATCAATAGGGAGAAGGAATAATTAGTTGCAAGTCTTAAGCCAAAAAGAGCTAGACCTCACAATTATTAGCCTTTGACTGTCCTAGATTCATGAATAAATGCATTCAAGATTGGGTCGCAACATAGGTCTGGCTTGTGCAAGTTAAGAGTACACACATTCCCAGCATATTTTTCCTCTTATGTTTTTAAAAGTGTTCCCTGTTAAATGTTATGCATCTTACACTTTGCTTAAAGTTCTCTGGAGCTCCTGTGTTCCATCTGGGTTCGATTAGCTATAGTAATTCCTCAACTTATTTCTCTGTGTGAAGGCAGTGTTTGAAGGTCACCCCTGGGATGTAAAAAGGCTAGTTAAGTTTTGTGTCGCCAGTTGGCTTACAACATACAAAAACACAGCATTTCCATATGAATGAGGCCATCTGTTTCCACTGAAACCTTGTGCAGCTGAGTCTCCAATACCAAACCGTACCTCTGTTCCTTTCTGCTTCAAGTCCTCTAATCTGTAAGGAAAGGAAAGTGCTGACCAGTGTTCACCCACCCCCACACACGTTGCAAAACAGCTGCGCGTGCATTTACATAATTGCTTTGCCTTGTTTAGATTTGTACATTTCTCCTTATTGCACTGTTTACATAAAGTATTGCTTGGCTGGCAAAAATGAACTGAACCCACTCAATGGGTGGGTTAAGTATGTAAGGAGATGGGGTTTTTGATCTTCCCCTTACCGCACAAAATAAAAGACAGAGAAATTCAGAAAAGAGCACATTCTTGAGTATTTGGCTCCATATGCAGCCACTTCGAACTGTAATGTCTTCTGCTTCCCATAAAGTGTCCTGGGAGCTATAATTTAAGGAGTTCAGAGTTGTTAGGAGACACCCATTCCCCTCAGACAGACACAATTGCCAGTGACTTAACAATCAATTCTACTTCCTGGGGAACTCTGGGAATTGTAGCTATTTGAGGAGAATAAGGGTCTCCTAAGAACTTTCAGCACCTTTGACAAAATACAGTCAAACAGCTTTCCATTCTATTAGATCAGAAAGAGAAATGGATTGTGGCTAGGTATGGTATTTTCCAGGCAAATTTTCTCCAGAAGTTGTACCTATTTTCTTCAGTAAGCTTAAACATAGGATCAGCTGTGCCTGAACTTCTCTTCTTTTCCAAAGCACAGAAGTGAGAGTGTCTGACCTTGGACTGCATATCTGGTCCTGGGGAATGTGGCCAAATGGGCCTTCTGCATGTATACAAGGGAAATAGTGTGACCTATATTAGTTGCTTGGAGACCAGATTTTCAGAGGCTCTTTGTGTGCCTGTGTTTGTACTCTAACAGGATTTCCGGGATTCAGTAGCACATGCTTCCAGGCAACTTGGAAAGCCAGTCATTGAAGACAGGATCCTGAATCAGATCCTGTACTACCTACCTCAACTGTATGAGCTTAATCGGGACCTCTTGAGAGAACTTGAAGAGCGGCTGTCCCACTGGTAACTACATATTCAGAGCATAGATTCCTGCTTACTTATTGGTTAGAATATTGGGATATTCAGGCTTCTAGTATTGTGTGCTGTTTTTAGACCACAAAGTTGAATTACGAATATATGATGTTGCAATGCAGCTATTTTTGAACTGAGATTTTCCCTGGATGCGTGTGTGTGTGTGTGTGTGTTTATATACTCACATATATTAGTAGTTTGCAGCTAGTTTGGCTATTGGGGGTCAAAGGTACTAAGTTCCTTTCCCTCTTCATCTTTACTTTCTATGACCAAATCACTCCTAACTAAATGAGCCTTTTAAAAATGTTTTTTGACCCTGCTTGGCTGTGTTTGCTATTTTTGCCATAGGCTATTTGGGTGATTGGGGCTGAGCCAGGTCAGGACTATGACATGGGAGGAGGAAGGCTTTAACTATTTGTTCCACCATACTCCTAATCAAGCCTCCTGCTGCCATTTGGCTGCTAATTGCAGTGGGAAGATAGCAGCCATTGGTACCAATGGGTGCTTTCCTCCCCCTTTGAATAGCAGGCATCCCCCCACATCTGGATCAGGGCTGTGGCAGAAAGGGTTAAAGCTCCACCTACCCCAAATGTCTATATGTGAAAACTCTCAGCCAGTGTGGTGTAATGGTTAAGAGCAGTAGATTCGTAATCTGGTGAACCGGGTTCGCGTCTCCGCTCCTCCACATGCAGCTGCTGGGTGACCTTGGGCCAGTCACACTTCTCTGAAGTCTCTCAGCCCCCCTCACCTCACAGTGTGTTTGTTGTGGGGGAGGAAGGGAAAGGAGAATGTTACCCGCTTTGAGACTCCTTCGGGTAGTGATAAGGCAGGATATCAAATTCAAACTCTTCTTCTCTCAAGGCCAAGCAACATTAATAGCATCGTGTTTGGTTAGGGCCTGAGTTCTGCTAGGCAGCGTAGCAAGGATGGAAAAGGAGACGGAAGAAAATCTGAATTTTTGTCATACCTTTTGTCCTTATGAAGCCAAGTCAGATAAATCTTTTTACCTTGAAGGGTATATATGAAGAAGTGAGGCTTGTCCAATGGCGAGGTTTAGCCCACAGGGTACTAGCTGCCCCCTTCTGATTTAGATGCCCGTTTCAATAGCAGTCCTCTGGAACATGTTGTTAAATTGCAAACACTTTCATTCTTAACACATGAAAGGGACTGAGCAGAGGGTCGCAGAGGAGGCCTGGGGGTGAGCACTGTTTTCCCAGGATGGATGTTGAGGTCCTTGTGTAGAAGGAATAGAAAGAGGGAGAAATATGCCCCCCCCCGTCATGCATTCTTCAGGTTTAAGTTCTAATTGTCCATGGTGTTAAATTCTAGGATTGACCACCAGCGAATTGCTGATATATTTTTGAAAAAAGGACCATACCTAAAGATGTATTCAACGTACATCAAAGAATTTGATAGGAATGTAGCTCTCCTAGATGAGCAATGCAAGAAGAACCCTGGGTTTGCTGCTGTGGTTCGAGACTTTGAGGTAATGGAGCCTTTTATCAATGGTGTCAGATGATACATTCCATCTTTTGACTTTAGTTTTCTCTAAGGCCTGGTTTGTACAATGCCAGAATACAAAATGCACGCACATGTCTCTTGTCAGATTTTTTTCACTTTTGGTCCCTTTTTAAAATGCATGTGAGCAGAGATTCTACACATCCCCCATAGTAGCTTGGATCTTTTTTAAAGGACCAAGAAGCAAGCGATAAGAATAACATCTGGGAAGCAACACATGTACATCGTATTTGGGCATAATATGTAACTGGAAATAAGTAATACATTCTCTTTACGATTACTGTATAACCAAAGTTCTGCAAGGGGAGTACAGCAGAGCAAACGCCTGGAAATTTAAAACACCCAAGTCAGAATTCTCACTGAAACATTCATTCTTAAAAGCACTGATTCTTCAAAGATACAATATCATGAAGAGTGTCTTGGAATCTCTTTGCGATCAAAAGATTTTGTTTGCCATATTGTAGTTTACAAACTGTATCTAGTTCTGTTGACAGATTTATAAAACCTATACATTTAATGAATTTGCAAAACCTGATATGGAAAGCAACAATCGAAACTAATATATATTTTATTTTATGAAGTTTGATGACCGTGGACTTACAGCTAGCAAGGAGGTTTGCATCAGATGCAATTTGGCAGCAGCATTCTTTGCCTGTTCTTTCATCCAGTGAAATGTATAACTGAGGTTAAGAAAATAAATGTAAACAAGAAAGGAAGTAATATTTCCTCTATTAGTGAGGCTCTCATCAGCCCTGTACAAGTCTTCTGTCCACAATAAATGACTTTTTTCAGGCAATTTGAACTGAATGGAATGTTAGAAGCCGGTCAAGCCTCTTGGCTGAGTTTCTTTCCATTTGAGATTCAGTCTTCTGCCAAAATGCAAATCCAAAGCATTGTGCTGCCATGTTTCCTTAATTATTGCTTGTTGAGTCTATACCATATGTTGATCTGAGGCACCATGCGTTCATCTAAATTTGTCCTCAGAAAATCCTTATTTTCTATCACGCTTTGCAGCTGCCTGTCTGCTTTTATGTGGCACTAAAGTAGACACAATTATACTTTGCTCATATGGGGGTGTGGAGGAAATGATCAGAATGGTGAAGCTGTTGGTGTCATAGCATGCTGACATGTGGGCTAAATTCTACATCTATATAAATGTGAGCCAGCCTAAAGTCTTCTATAGGTTGCTTGTAGGGTGAGCATTTGGGGCTTTTTAGTTTAGAGAAAAGGCAAATAAAAGGGGACATGATAGAAGTGTGTAAAAGTATGCATGGTATTGAGAAACTGCCTAGAGAAACATTTTTCTCCCTCATAATCAGGGCCCCAGATTAAGACCTTTGGAGACCCTAAGCACTTAAAAGATTTTGGTGCCCCCATATAGATCTAATTCAAAATATTGTTTCATTTAATGGCTAATTCAGCCCCGCTCTTAATACTAGAACTCGGGGACATCTAATGAAACTTAAATGCTGGAAGATTCAGTACAGACAAAAGAAAATACTTACGTTGCCCCTTTCAACTCTACAATTCTATGATTCTGTGATTCACAAACACATCATTAAACCATGGAATTAACTCCCATAAGAGGCAGTGATGTCCACAAATTAGATAGCTTTAAAAGAGGATTAGACAAATTCCTGGAGGGCTATCAGTGGCTACCAGATAACTATACTCTACCTCCACTGTATGCTTCTGAATACCAGTTGCCGGACTAGATGAGCCACTGGCTTCATCAAAACTTCTTTCTGCAAAGGCAAAACCACATTTGAATAACAGCCCATTTAAAAAAAAGAAAAAACCAATACAGCTTGCAGACAGTAGCAAGAGTAAACTATTTGGTCTGGTTCAGGCAAGTTGTTTTAAAAGAATGTTAAGTTTCAAAATCCTGGGTGTTTTCTTTTTCAGATGAGCTCCCGCTGCGCTAACTTGGCACTGAAGCACTATTTGCTCAAGCCAGTTCAGAGGATCCCCCAGTACAGGCTGCTTTTGACAGGTAAGAGCTAAAAGTCAGTGCTCTACAGGTAGCAAACCTCAACTCGCTAGGAATATTTTTACCTGAATTCAGATGCACGGAAAAATTATTCTGCAGAGAAATTCTTCTGCGGTGGATGAAAATGCAAAGGAAGAGCACAGCTGATTCTTTTTCATCTTCTGCTGAATAAATGTTGATGGTGATAAGCATCAGGGCTATGATGTTATGCTATGTTTCCACAGCTGTTCATTCTGGTTCTGCTGTTCAGGGTAGAACAGTATTGATTTCAAAAGGGAAAGGGAAGCTCTGAAAACTGATATAATATAAATATTTTTCTTATACCAAGTGTTGATCCATGCATATTCTCTTAGTTTGGTCATGTTATTATAGTTTTAGCTATAGTTTAAAAAAAATAATAATCCATACTCTACTACTCCTTTGTAAAATTGACTTTCCTTTTTTTCCTATTGCCATAAGGACATATTTATTAGGACATATTCCCTATAGAGCACGGTAGAACTTCTGTGTAAACACGCATATGATGGCACTGTAACAGAATCCTTGCTCTTTGATGTTGAGAGTCGTCTGCATAGTCCCACCTTCCCACCTTGGCTCCCTTCTGCTGTTTCCTTACCAGTGTGTGGGAACTTCAGCCATCTATGGACCTCTAATATGTCTCACTGTCATGCCCTGAACATATAATCCCTTTACTATGAATCTACACAAAAAGTTGCTTTGAAATTTCCTGAATTGATGGTCACTACACGCAACCGTACAGATTAGCGTTGGCTCGAACCCAGAAGTGGCATGAAAAGGGTCAAAAATGGCCCTAAAAGAGCGTGAAAACGGCAAACATGTTCAAAAACAGAGTGTAGCAGAAATATCAGGTTTATTGTTAAAGATGCAGAGAACATGATTTATGCTGAGTTAGTGAATTCCACATTATTCAGACTTCCTCACTCTATTTTCTTTTTCTTGTGTAGTGTAAGTGCTTGGCAAGTCAGGAGCTGTAAATGTTGGGTTTGACATTATTGCTCTTAGGCTTTGAGAAAGACCGTAGAACAAAATGAAGAAGAAAATAATTTCACAACCTGTCTTCTGTGGGTCTTCTGAGCATCATTTCTGTTCAGTAGCTCCTCAGTTGAATCCTCAAATATATGACTCAATGAATAGTCAAGTGTGCTAATTACTCTGATGTAGGAAAGGGATGTGCACACCGATTTGCTATACATAATATAGCTTGTTACATAAAATATACTTTCTCTAAAACACTTCTATACATATTGGGTTAGAGCCATTGCCCTTCCACAAAGGAAAGGACCCCTTCATTTATGAGATACAGGAGAAGCACTCTCTAGAGGAAGCAATTTTTGATGATTCCCCAGTTCCCCTGCAGCTCATAGCACTATTTCCCATTGTCTTCTGGAGGGTCCACTAACCCTCTGGAACAGCTTTTCTGGAGCACAGGAGACTACAAGTGAGAAGGAGAAATAAACAAACATCACCTTTTCATCCCCACTTCCTGCAGCAGGTAACATAGATCTAACCTATAAGCAACATAACTACATACATAAAACCTTGCACATGCAGGATCTTGAGTTGAGCTCTGGGATGCCCTAGCTTAACTTACTTCCTGACGGACTGAATTCCAGGAGCAAAACACAGCAAAATGAGTAGGCCTTCCTCTGACTCAAGAGTGTAGTCATTTCTTTCCCTTCCTCCTGTTTATTCATATCCATTTGGCCTTCCTCACCTTTATCCTATAAACTATTATTATTTGTTGCATCCTTCTCTAGGGCTTGTCTGCTTGCCAGAAAAATATCCACTCCTTTGCTTTTCTCAGCTGCTGTATAAATAGCAAGATTTCTTTCACTGCTGCTTATGACTCTGCAAAAATGCTGTGTTTGCCTAGAAATTACTGTGTGGAATTTTGTCCCGCATGTTGTCATTGTGAAAAAATCCAAGTCTGTAACGTAAACTTATAGTTAGTGCTTGAGGTTGAAGAAGAGCAGTACTAATTACTGTACTGTAAACTCAGAAAACCACTGGGGAATAATCACCACTTCTGTGTAAGAGATCTGCATGAACACGCAGTCAGCAAGATCAGCCAGACTGCTGCTGTTAATCATCCCCAACTGGCAGAGAAGTTATTGAAGGGGTGGTGGCTGGAGTACAGCAGGCTCACTCTCAGAGGATGGTCTGAGGGCACATGATGCAGCCACCTTGCAAAAAAAGCTAAGCAGGTCTAGGTCCCCTCCAAGCTTCTATCATGAATTCCACAATGGAAATAATGGTGCGTCATAAGTGCAGTACAGTGGTACCTTGGGTTACAGACGCTTCAGGTTACAGACTCCGCTAACCCAGAAATAGTACCTCGGGTTAAGAACTTTGCTTCAGGATGAGAACAGAAATCGTGCGGCGGCAGCACAGTGGCAGCGGAAGGCCCCATTAGCTAAAGTGGTACCTCAGGTTAAGAACAGTTTCAGGTTAAGAACGGACCTCCAGAACGAATTAATCTCTTAACCCGAGGTACCACTGCAAATAAATCACCTTTTGTGTGTGTTAGCAATCCCTCAGAGGTAAAAGGCTGTCCAGTCTGCCCATTCAGTCATGATCTACTTGTGTCTCCTACCACCCATTTTAGTAGCTTAACAGCATTGCACTTGCCTGGCTGTCTTTCAGTCTGGAAACCCCCCCCCCCCATTCTTTCTTACCAAGATGCTTGCTGCCTTCTGGGGGGGGGGGGAGAAGAGAGCAAGCACCATATTTATGCTGCCTTTATGTTTAAAAAATCATAAACCATATAACAAAAAATAGATTAGGGGGCACTATACATATGCATTTTAAACCTACAAATATAACATGAAACCTAAGCAACAATGCAATGGAACTAAGGGGAATAAAATTATTCAACTATCTTAAAGCATCATAATTTAAAATGTCTGGCATATAAAAAGATTCTAACCTTTGCACCAGAAATAATACAGTGTTGGTGCTCAGTATGCCTTCCTTGGGAGGGCATTTCAAAGTTGCAAGGAGCACCAGGGAGAAGATCCTCTCCTTAATATATGCATAAGGCACTTCTAGAAATACCGTGGACCAGTGCTTAAACCATGTGCATTCAGAGTACATTTCAGCTACATTAAACATGTTTAAGTCCCTTTGAAAACAGTGAGTGTGAGGCCTTTTTGTAAATGTGCAAACCTTTTCAGAGATGTAATAACCTTATAGCTCAACTGGGCCACCTAGAGGTTCATTGTAATAACGTCATCCAGTTCTCTTCCTTAATAACATTTCTCTTTCCACAGATTATTTAAAGAACCTCTTAGAAGATTCGGCTGACTTCAGAGATACTCAGGGTAATTGCTTTTATAGTAGTTAGTCCGTAGTTTAATGAAAAACACACATCTTCTTGAATTTACGGGTGTGTGTCATTTCATTGGTGGCACAGCCACAAGGCTGGATCCAGAGTTTCTGCAAGGGAGAAAGTTTCACTTCCAGGTTTCTTGGGTTACGCTTCCCTTGCAGTGGCCTGCAGGTTTGCTCTTGGGCTTGGGGCGCATCCTCTGAACAGCAGGAAAGGTGGCATAGGAAGCTCCCAGGGTGAGGAAATTGCCAGAGATTTCCTTGCTTCACTTCCAGTCATGTTTGTTTGTTTGTTTGTTTGTTTAATTAATTAATTAAACCCTGCCCATCTGGCTGGGTTTCCCCAGCCACTCTGGGCGGCTTCCAACATGTATAAAAACACTTTTTTATCCGGGGGGGGGGGATTAAATACCTCCTGATGTAAGCACCACTGGTTCAGGAATCCATGAAGGTCAGAAATAACTTCTACAAGGCCAGTGCTAATGCTCTGTGTTATAGTTGCTGGCTATTTTAAGGCTACAGAGGTTCCTGATATAAAAACACTGAGGGATCAAGGGGTATGAACTCTTCTGTGTCAAGGAGCAAAGGCAATATTATGTTTGACTGCAGACCTTCCTCAGGCCTAATGTAGCCTGAAAGCTTTTAGTTGCCTCTGTTGATTGAGAAGATAAGCTTCTTACTCTCACAGTTGGAAGGTTTAAAATCTCACACATTCTTTCCTATTTTCCTGATGTTTGTTGATGCTGTGGAAATGTATCCCCTTCCCTTAGCTACTGTTTTAAGATTTATTCCACAGTGTCCTTACCTTTTCAGGAATCGTTTTCAGATATAACAACTTTAGAAAACATACCCAAAAAATTACCTTCCCCAACCCTCCCTGTTGAGCACAGTAGTGTCATTTATTATTATACAGATGTTTCCAAATTAAATGAAGGTGTCTTGCCATGTCCCCATGAGTAGTGAGTGGTCGATAATCATGTTTCTTTGTTAATGCATATGAAATAAATCTAAACCATATTGCATAAAAAAATTCTGATCTTGTATTTTCCCCTTGATCTTGAACTTCATTGGTCAACTTTTCCATTAAGTTGTGAAATACAAGGTCCTTTCCATTAAACATAGGTGTCTTTAATACTGACTCACATAATGTAGTCAATGCTGGAATACATTTTGTTTTGTTTTCAAGATGCTCTTGCTGTTGTGATAGAAGTGGCTAACCATGCTAATGACATCATGAAACAGGGAGTAAGTATCTCAATTGTGGAATAATGTGGTGATAATGGTGATAATAATTATGACTATAAATATTATTTATCTATTTATCTCTTCCCATGAGGCATCCTGAAGTGATTTATTATATAATAGGAACATATATAAAAGCCACATATATAGAAAAGTCAAAGGAATAACATATAAACTTTAAAGCATATATATTATATCATCCATTTAAAAGAACAGTCCATATGAAAAATCAGTTCAAATCCTATACAGACAGAAACTGGGATAAAGACTTCCATTTTGAAGGCTTTTTGAAAGGACATTTTAATATGGTTTTCAGCAGCTTTGTGGGGTTTTATTTCTCTGTGTGTCTGTATTTTGCCATTTTACTTTAGCTGTATACTAGTAACCCCAACTTTGTGGATATCAGTTTGAACCATGACACATTTGTGTTGCCTGGAAAGCTCATAGATCTCTAGATAGAAGACATGATTATACATGACTTTAATGGGTCACTTGAAGCAACTTCAGTCTCTTTACAAATGAGAAACAAGGGAGGTAACATGGAGCTTTTTACTGTTATGGGCAGTGTGTGTTAAATTGTGGAGGCCTGTGTATAGAGCTAACCCTGCAGTTTTATGCCCTAAGGCTTAAATCTCCTGTGTTCAGCTCCTTTAATTCAGCAAATATTACTTTTTGGATTTGTGTAATTTTGTTCTGGTTGTTTGTACTGGTACACATCATAGAATATGGAAGTGTGTTTGACTTCAACACTTCTGCAGCCAATTAGAGTGAACAACCAGTGTGGCTCCCTGGTGTTCACAGAGGATTCTTCCGCCATGGAACTTTTCATCAGTTTGTTTACAAGAACTTTATTTATGTTTCCACCCTCTAGGACAACTTTCAGAAACTTATGCAAATACAGTACAGTTTAAACGGTCATCATGAGATTGTACAGCCAGGGAGGGTAAGTTCACCAACAAGCAAACAGCAGGTTGCGAAAAGCAAACAAACCTTAGTGTGTGAAAACCACTTTTATGGCCCATTTATAAGTTTTAGTCCTAAAAGGGAAAAGGAAGGTCTGGGGTTTCTTTTTCTTTGTTTCATCAGCCACCTCCATCTGTGACAGTAACTATTGCCTCTGCAAAGGCAAAGATGCTAATTCCTGTGACGGGAATAAGACAAACAAAGGTTGGTGCCACTACTATAGCCCATTAGTCTAGTTTGTAGTGTACTGTGGGGTGTCTGCTTAGACCAGCGATGGCCAAACCTGGCCCTCCAGCTGTTTTGGGACTACAATTCCCATCATCCCTGATCACCGGTCCTGTTAGCTAGGGATGATGGGAGTTGTAGTCCCAAAACAGCTGGAGGGCCAGGTTTGGCCATCACTGGCTTAGACCAACCTTGTTCAACCTGGTGCTGTGTGGTTATTTTGAACTACCAACTCCTATCATGTTGGCTGACTGATGGGAATTATATTTCCATATGTCGGGAGGACACCAGGCTGGAAAAGTCTAGCTTAGGCCAACCAACCAAATATTTGTCCATAAGAGCAAACTCCTAGGGGCTGAGGTCCCTTGGGCTTCCCCAATAAAATATTTGAGGGGACCCCCCCAAAAAAAACCATTGATGGGTATTGCCATACAAATGGTGTGTGTGCATCAAGTCATGTAATCGATTAGGTGGGGCAGGGCTTACCTTCTCCCCGCCCCCCCCAATATTTTATTCAAGTTGGCACCCCTGTATTTGCCCAGGCCACATTGCCATACTGTCTCTGGGCAGAATGAGTAGGTCCCATTCCCACTTGACTTCCAAAAGCAGCATCCTGGCTGTACAGACTACTTCCAGTACTAGGAGTAGCTGTTTCTCTCCTAGCAATCCCACCACCTCTCTTTTAGCAGTGCCCTTTCCTGTCTCTGCAGTATTGCTCTGTTGTCTTATTGGGCTCTTGACTAGTATGTACTTAATACTATGTTTGAAAATCGAAGTGCTCTCGCACTCTCCTTGGGATAGTTTTATACTCCTAGCAACTGACTACATTTATTTGCTTGCTTGAATGCCCAGGTCTTTTTGAAAGAAGGAACGTTGATGAAACTGTCCAGGAAGGTTATGCAGCCGCGAATGTTTTTTTTGGTAAGATGCCATGGATGTTTTTACATACCTAATGCTAGAGTGATTTCATAATGGTGCAGTCTGTCCCCACTGCAATTTCAAAAACAAAAACTAGCAACTCCAGTTAATGGTTCTGAATAATTTATATTTCAGTTTATACTATCATCGTCTCCTTTTCACAGTGGTTTTATGAATTAAGCATCTTTTCTCTCCTGCTTGGTGGTTTTTATGTAGCATTTATTTTTGAAAAATGTTCTGCTCAAAGTCTGAGGTTCTCTTTCAGATGCATCAGGGTCTTTAATCAAATGCAGTCAAGGCAACTATTTAGCATTTAGCTATACTTGTAATGTGTGTTTTTTTAATCCTAGAATAATGTTATTAAAAATGATTCTTTGCTTATCAAGGAAACAAGGACACACTGCAAAAGCAAGTTTCTAATATTTAAATTGCCAGATCTGCATTTGATTAAGCTTCATGCATTCAACATCACTTGGGTGAACTTTGCAAGAAAAAATAATAATGGTTGTTGTTGTTGTTGTTGTTGTTAATGTTAATGATGGTAAATGGAAGCAGCAGGGTGATGATAAATGGATCCAGTGAATTTTGGCCACAGCGTGGCTTCCTCTGCATGGAACTTAATGAAATCCTTGTGCTGAGTAGCCTGTACATGGGGACCTGAGGAGAAAAAGGTCACAGGATGTTCCTAACAGAGAGGACAAACTTGGGCACCCCTTGCCTGGCTACAGAATATTGTTATGGGCCCAGCATAGCTTGGGGACAGGGACAGCCTGTCCTGTTTCACCACCTAAGGTGGAAGGGGAATGGACCCCCCCCAAATCCCACCACTTCTGTCATCATCAAAATGTGCACACCCCCACTGAAAGGGGGACATTCTGCAAGGCCTTGCTACTTGTCTTTTCTGCCTCAGGAGCAGGAAAAACAAGAACAATGGGGGAACAAAGAAGGCAGAAAGAGGGCAGAGATGGTCTTTTGCACCTTTCCCTGTGTCGGTGGAAGTTGATATGTGAGACGTACAAAAGTCCCTATATGTTACATGTAATTTCAGTTACTTTTAAAAAATATTTATATTGCAGTTTAATGATGCTCTGCTATATACAACTCCCGTACAGTCTGGAATGTATAAACTCAACAACATGCTGTCCCTGGCTGGAATGAAAGTGAGTAGATAAAATTTCTTCTGTAACATGTTTTTGTCACTCACAGCTTGAACGCCTGCCCAGACATTTAATGTGTGCTAAGACATACTATAATGCTGATAAATAATACAGTCTTTCATTTACTGATAGCCTTTTGTGCTTCTAACGTGCTTGTTATGTGTATCTTTCCCTGCTTCACTAATAGTCCCAGGGTACATTCATAGATAAAACAATGTAACATCAAGTCGAAAATATACAAGCTCATAAAACTGTATTAGTTTGTGATCAAAACAATTTAAAACAGTATTCAGTTGAAGGAAGATACCTTATCTTTGTACAATACAGTCCACCACAGCCCCCCGCCCTTCCCCAAAAGCTATGCCAACAAAAGACATGCTGTGCAAGATCTGTCTTTGAGGAAAGAGCACTCCACAACCTGGGAAGGGGAGCACTGCAGAATAGGCCCCCTCTCATGCTACTGCTCTGAGGTAAAAATGGCCTGGTTTACATGTTACATTAAGCCAAGTCATGTCTTAGCATAGCACAGACTCCCAGGGAGGAGATCATGGCCACTTTGCCTCTCTGCAGTAATTTTGCTGCTGTACCATGCTGAATTTAGCCATGGCTTGGCATGTTGTTTGAATGCAGGCTTGTGGTTTAAATCCCTCCAGACTAACCATGAGGAGTAGCAAAGAATGTTGTTGGTTTATGGCTCATGGTTACTCTGGAGAAACCAGAACTACGAGCCCAGATATGGATGGCATGCTAAACCAAAGTGAAGGACTGAGGAGGAGTGAATCTGCCACAATCTCTTCCCTGGGAGTTGGTACCTTCACTCTTGGGCATGTTTCAGCTTACTGTGATGTGTGAACCAGGCCAGATATCTTCATCATTCCAATATCTGGGTTTCCCAGATTCAAAGCTATTTTTTTCTCCTGCAAATGTTACTCCTTTTGTGTGTGTGTTGAAATTGTCTTCTGCTTCTAATTTCTGAAACTACTGTACTGGTTTGTTACGCCTTTTTCCTTTGCTAAGCCTTTTGAGATGGCAGGTTGACAGAACATTTGTTTTTCTTGTTTTACAACTGGATTATTCATTCTTTTTCCTTCCTAGGTTAGAAAGCCAACCCATGAAGCTTACCAGAATGAACTGAACATAGAAAGTGTAGAGCGATCTTTCATTCTGTCAGCAAGGTATGCCTTTAGGCACAACATTATGTGTATTTTGATAACACATTATTGCTTAGTGCTTTCTCCTCAATATTTATTGGATAGTTAAATGTTGTGATAAAAGGATAAGCTGTTTAGTTATGTTGGGTGTGAGAAAGTTGCTTTACAATCAGCTACTAGACCATGTTCAATGTCTTGTTGTTAACATATAAAGCCCTAAACAAATTGGGACCTGGTTACCTAAAGACCACCTGCCCTTAAAGAGATGTGTAAGATCACATAGATCAACTGGGAATTTTTTACTTTACAGCACCCTACAGAATGTCATAGAGTGGTGACCTGAAAACGGGCATTTTCTGCTGTTTCCCTGTAATATGGAACGCCGTTCTCTCTGCCATACACGAAGTAGCGACCATCAAAACCTTTTGCCCAGGCTTTCCCTGTCCCAAGAGATTGGACCCTGCTTTATGTACAGTGGTACCCCGCAAGACGAACGCCTCGCAAGACGGAAAACCCGCTAGACGAAAGGGTTTTCCGTTTTGGAGGCGCTTCGCAAGACGAAGTTCCCTATGGGCTTGCTTCGCAAGACGAAAGCCCATAGGGAAATCTCCGGGACAGCGGGGAAGCGCCTCCGCTGTCGCCCGCCAGCATTTTAAAAAGCCCCGGGACAGCGGGGGACTTCTCCGCTGTCTGGGGCGATCTTAAAATGCTGGCGGGCGGGAGCGAAGCCTCCGCTGTCGCCCGCCAGCATTTTAAAAAGACCCGGGACAGCGGGGGACTTCTCCGCTGTCCCGGGGCAATCTTAAAATGCTGGCGTGCGGGAGCGAAGCCTCCGCTGTCGCCCGCCAGCATTTTAAAAAGCCCCAGGACAGCGGGGGACTTCTCCACTGTTCCGGGGCAATTTAAAAGCCCCGGACCATGCCCCGATGCCGGTGGACGGGCGGGAACGCCTCCCCCCGCCGCCCGCCATCGGGACCATGCCCCGATGCCGGTGGACGGGCGGGAACGCCTCCCCCCGCCGCCCGCCATCGGGACCATGCCCCGATGCCGGGCGGTGGGGCGGGAACGCCTCCCCCCGCCGCCCACCATCGGGACCATGCCCCGATGCCGGGGGCGGGCGGGAACGCCTCCCCCCGCCGCCCGCCATCGGGACCATGCCCCGATGCCGGGGGCGGGGCCGCGAAGCCTGGGCGCGCTGATCTCAGCGCGCCCAGGCTTCGGCATGCCGGCATCTCTCCGCAAGCAGCGGCAGCGCTGCCGCTCCTTGCGGAGAGGTCCGCGAAGCCTGGGCGCGCTGATCTCGGCGCGCCCAGGCTTTGGCATGCCGGCAACTCTCCGCAAGCAGCGGCAGCGCTGCCGCTCCTTGCGGAGAGGTCTGCGAAGCCTGGGCGCGCTGATCTCGGCGCGCCCAGGCTTCGGCATGCCGGCATCTCTACGCAAGCAGCGGCAGCGCTGCCGCTGCTTGCGGAGAGGTCCGCGAAGCCTGGGCGGACAGTTTTTGAAGGCAGGGGGGAGCAAAGACTTTCGCCCCCCCGCCAGCCTTCAGAAGAGGTCCTGGACCTCTTCTGAAGGCCAGCGGGGGGCAAAAGTCTTTGCTCCCCCTGCCTGCCCCCAGCGCGTTTCTCCGCTGTCCCGGAGGGCTTTTGAATGCAGGCGGGGGGGGGAGCAAAGACTTTCGCCCCCCCCCAGCCTTCAGAAGAGGTCGGGGGACAGACTGTCCCCGGACCTGGTCTGAAGGCGGTTTCCCTAGGAACGCATTAATTGATTTTCAATGCATTCCTATGGGAAACCGTGCATCGCAAGACGAAAAACTCGCAGGACGAAGAGACTTGCGGAACGAATTAATTTTGTCTTGCGAGGCACCACTGTATTTGAATCTCCTGTATTTTGTTTGATTCACTTTTATGTTTCTCTGTTTATATTGCTATTTTATTGGTTTTACATTATATTTTTGTTTTAATGATACATTACTTGGTTGTTAGACTGTAACATTAAGTGGTATATAAATGTTTTTAAATAAAAAATTGTCATATGTGTTTTACCCCCAACAGTTCTGCCACGGAAAGAGATGAGTGGTTAGAAGCCATCTCCAGGTCAATCGAAGAATATACAAAGAAAAGAATCACTTTTAACCCCAGTAAAAGTATTGAAGAGGTATGTCCAAATTGTTCTGGTCCAAATTGTTGCTTGTACACACTGTATGGCAGTGATGGTGATTTGGGTCCATAGACCTGTTATGCATGCCAAAGGCACAAGTGTTTAATGTCAGGAGAAAAGGCCGGTTGTTTGTCCTGTGTTGATAACTGTTACATAGCTAGTGTGTTACTGGAGAATGATTTTTCAGTAGTACATTAGGAGAAACATCTTAACAGTAAGAACACTTCAACTGTGGAATCAATTACCTAGTAGAGTGATCTTCTATTGAAGGGCTTGTGGGCCATCAGAGTCCAACTTGATACTTGACCCAGGAAATCCAGAGTTAGGGTATAGCCAACAGATAACCTCCAGCATGAAGACCTCCAGTGAAGGAGAGACCATTATTCTACCAGGTACTTGGTCCCATTGTTGAACTACTCTTACTGTAAGAAGTTTTAAGAAAAATAATAGGGGTGGGGAACCTCTGACCTGCAAGCCTAGTAAGGCCCAGCAAGCTCCTGATTGCATGTGTGGCTCACTGATGGCTCCAGTCATCTCAATGTCACTGTGAGCCCCATTGGGACCAACTGCATGAAGGAGTTCTCTGTCAGGAACTCCCTTGTGCAGCAGAAAGGGCTTGCTGTCAGCAAAACCCACTTTGCCCACTTGCTGGTGCGATTTGGATTCAGCCTGCACCTGCAAATGGACATTTTCCTCTCTCTACAGTGTCCTGCCCTGCTGGTAGGTTTTAGTTCCCCACCAGATGCTTGATAGTAAAGTAACAAATGCTGTTAAAACATGCTCCTCTTTGGGGAGTTTTCTGCAGTTGAATCTCAAATATATGCAATAGGCCCAAATGATCTCCTCCCCCTATGCCTCCTTCATGAAAGCTTTCTGTCCCCTTCCCTCCCCACACCCCCAAATTCACACTGAAGTCTGCTAAAAATAATTCAGTTTAATTTCATCAACTGGTGAAGAGTTGTACAGCACTAGTTAGAAAACTAGAACATCATGGTGGTTGTTTACCGTATTTTTCGCTCTATAACACGCACCTGACCATAACACGCACATCGTTTTTAGAGGAGGAAAACAAGGGAAAAAACATTCTGAATGAAACAGTGGATGTATCATTTTTGTGCTTCATGCTGTGGCCACAGACATGTGATCTGATGGTGAATTTGGGGTGACCCAATGCAAAGATCCTGAGGATCCATGTGGATCCATGCTTTTTAACCACGTTTTTGCACCATTGCAGCCCCAGGCAACAGTGGGTGCGTGATTTTGGGGGGGCAGGCTGTAGCCATGGACATGCTATGTGATCTGATGGTGAATTTGGGGTGACCCAATGCAAAGATCCTGAGGATCCATGTGGATCTATGCTTTGTAACCACATTTTAAGTGGGGAACGAAGGAAAAACAAAGAAGGGACATGAGAGGGGTGTGCAGAGAAGCAGCTGGCTAAGAATGCAGGAGAGGGATTTAACGGGAGGGAGGAAAGAAAGGCAAAAGTTTCCCCCCACCCAAGCCAGCCATCTCTCTCTCTCTCTCTCTCTCTCTCTCTCTCTCTCTCTCTCTCTCTCCCCCCTCCCCCCCCCTCTCTCTCCCTCCCCCCCTCTCTCTCCCTCTCCCCCAGCAGCACCGGAGCACAGAGAGGAATTAGACACTCTGCTTTCCCCTCTGCTTGCCTGGAGGGGAGGGGCTTTTCCTGTTCTTTGTTCCGTTTCAGCAAACACAACAATGAAACAGAGGAGGGTGGGCAGTAAGACCCTGAGGCAGAATGCAGGAAAGCAGCCACTTCCTCTTTTCAGGTTTCCCTTCTCCGTGAAGCGCGATTTGATTTTTGCCTGATTTTTCGGCTCCAGGGACCACACATTCGCTCTATAACACGCACAGACATTTCCCCTTCCTTTTTAGGAGAAAAAATCTGCGTGTTATAGAGGGAAAAATACGGTATTTAAATCTGTAATCATGTGAGATTTTATTTCCTCTCTCCCTTAGGCAGACCCAGAAAAAGAGACCGAAGATAGTCCTATAGGGTCAAAGGCGCCAATCTGGATTCCTGATACTAGAGCTACCATGTGTATGATCTGTACTAGTGAGTTCACACTCACATGGAGAAGACACCATTGCAGAGCATGTGGGAAGGTTGGAAACATTTCACAGCCTTATTGTAGCTATTAATCAAAATATTCAGTGGTTGGACTTGACTGCTCTGCATCCTGTTAAAGAAATATTGCAGTTTTGATAAGATCACACTGCAGTGCATTCAATGAGCTGGGACAAGTTCCCTATGAGCCAAGCTACAATTTTGGCTTTTAAGTCTAAGGGGGGAAGCAAGTAACGGGGGGTGGGGGGACATGATAGAGATGTGCAAAATGATGTACCTCATTATGTGGGGAAAGTGGATACAGAAACATTTTTCTCCCTCTTTCATAATACCAGAACCTGAATGAAGCGGAATGTTAGAAGATTCAGGACAGAGGATATAAAAAATGTTTTTCATACAATGCATGGAATTTGCTTCCCCAAGGTGTAATGGTGTCCAGAAACTTTGATGGCTTTAAAACAGGATTAGAAAGTAATCAAAGAGGATAAGTGCTATGACTGTCTGCTTGTCAGGATGGCTATACGTTGCTTCCCGTATTGAAGGTGGCATGCCTTTGAATACCAGCTGCTGGGGAGCCTGAGTGAGGATATTGTCTAGGCATCTGCTTGACAACTGTGGAGAAAGGATGCTGGACTAGATGGGTCATTGGCCTGGTCCAGCAGGACTCTAATAGGAAAGCTCTCTGCTTGTTTTGAACCACATATCTCAATCATCTTAAAATGTAAACTAGAGATGTGTGGTGTGTGTACTTCATGTTTCTTTTTCCTTTCCAGATAATCTGTCAAGCTTGTTCATCAAATAAACATGGGCTAGACTATATGAAACATCACTCTGCAAGAGTATGTGACCATTGCTTTAATGAGTTACAAAAACAGGGTAAGGTAAAAACTTTGTCTAAACCAGCTTTTCAATTTTTGATGCTTCTGTTTTTGCTACAAACATATTTTAAGGGCATGTAAACCCCCTAAGTTGGAGCTGTCTTCATTTCTGCATGGCTTGTAGTGGCACAATTTTTTGAGGATTAAATAGAACAGAATCAAATTCCCAAAAGACAATAATAATGCAATATCGTTTTAGTTTTAAAAGTGGTTCTCCAGATGAAAATATACTGCTCAGATTAAATATCCTTTCCTGCTTTGCTCATGTTTTACATAAGTGCATGGATTAACTCACATTGCATTTTACAGTTGATTTAATATGGATGGTAGGGTTAGTAAAAGCTTAAATCCATTTTGCAGCAGTTTTGCAAGAGAATATTGTTTTAATCATCACCCCCAAATACTTGTCCACCATCATGCTGTGTTCAGAAGGCAGGCTTGTTCACTGAAAAGGGGACCATAGGTTTAAGCACATTCAAAACTGCAATATAATTTCTCTCATATGTACAAATAGTATGTGAGAAACTAGAATGACAATAATCTCAGGGTGGGCAGATGGTGTGCACTTAAAATTTGCAATTTGTGAAGAAATTCACTTTAAATTGAGGTTTCCATTTGTATGAAATACAAAAGTAACTGTTTCCATTTCAGATAAGCTGAACACACCTCCTAAAAATGGTTCCCCAGTAAATCACAGAACTCCGTCTAGCACCTTATCCACAGTGTTGCACAGTATCCCATCTGGAAGAAAGCAGAAAAAGATCCCAGCTGCTCTTAAGGAAGTATGTGTTACATAGTCTAAGTATTAAATTATCTGTTTTTATTAACGGCGTCATTGCTAATCTTTAGTAAACTGATTTTAGAAGGGATATCTATTTGAGTGGGGCATCTTACTTTTTTTAGTATAGATTTATAGTAGGACAAATAGTTGAAATATATTTAGTCAGGTGTGGTTGAAGATTAATTAGCACTGTGCTACTCTCTTGGTGCAACCCATTGATACTATCAAATCTCCTTCTCTGCCCCAGATATTTTATTGCCCTGTGTTACCTGTCTCCAATTCCTTCCATGGCTAGGGAATTTGAATTGTGGGAAGCATGGTGGAATGAAACTTTCCTCCCTCTTACCTCTTATTATGGGACCAACTACATGACTTGTTAGATTTAAACCAGGTACAAACCAGGGATCCCAACACTAACGTTTAACTTTCAGAGTTAAATTAAACTTTGCAGAAATCCTTCTGGGCACATAGATGGAAGAGATGACCATGTGAGGTCCTTTGGTTTAGTATTGACCATTATATTTCTTGTGCTTCTTGCACTTGGTGAAATACCAGTGATTTGCACACACATTTCTATTTTGGTCACCAGGTTAAAAGAGTGGGAAGGGCTGTCCTTCGTACCTTCCTCTCTACTTGCTTCAACATTCTTGGGCAAAGTACTTGTGCTCCAGTAGGCCGCATATGTTGTTGCAGACTTCCATTTATACAGTTGTACTAATATTCTACTGCACCAGGTGGGAAATGAATTGTCACAACGCAGCATTCCCAAAGTGAAAGAGAGAAATAGAGTCTGTTAGAAGGAGGAGACTGTTCAGGACACTCATAGGAGAGTTATAGAAAGAGATGACAGAGATGGGGGGAGGCTTCCACAACGCTGGGTATGATTTTTGTGAACGTATGTTCATGCAATATCTAAATTTAAAAATGACTGGATAATTATTTGTTAAGCTGCAAAAAGGAAAATATATTTATGCATACGAATCGCTGTCTTGGGGACTGTTCTGTCCCATTTCAGTTGAATATTTACGGTGCTCATATTTAGCATGGTAGTATGCTATTTCTTTGCATATATTGATACAGAGCATTCGCAGAATCTCAATTAGGCAACCTTTTCCCCCTTGTCTGCTTCCCAAAGAAACATCATACAGCCTGAGGAATTTCTTGAAACAAATTATTTATGTAGCTTAATTGTGTTCATATACCAGCTGTTGCTGTAGCAAACCTTTTAGCACCCCCTGTTGATTGGAGTTACTTTAATTCTTGATGGATTCTTTGTGTGTATTGCACATGCACATTCCCTGAGAAAGATGTTACGTGCAGTACCTTCAATATGCTGCCTTGATGGATTGTTGACTCAGAAAAGTTCAGTGTGCAGTTTGGCCCATCTCTCTCTCTAGGGATGCTTTCTTGCTGCCAATTGATTTTTCATGCTAAAGGCATCTCTTTCTGGAAAAGTGGTGAATTTATTTAGAATACCTTTTAGCTTTATTACCCTTTATAGCTATGTCCTGTTGAAAATAGTGTTGGGCGCTTTTATCCACACTGTTCACATCAAACTGTACTTAAAGCTGCAGTTAGGAATTTTCAAAGGTGTGTTTAAATCCTATCTCTACAGTTTGCATTAAAATTATCATTATAGGGTAAAATCTAGGAAGATGCATCTAATGGAAAATATTAATTAGAACAACAACTTTCTTTTATAGCACTTTCTGTCAGGGGATACACTTGGCATGCCTTGCAGTCACTCGCATTGTTCTGATTTGAGACTAACAATCCTTAATGTCCCAACTACTCATTCTAATCTAACCCAGTCATCCTTGCCTTTCAATAGTCACTGGAATCATCTTGTGGTAGCCTTAGGCTCCTAAAATTTTATTACTCATCTTTCTGAAGAGCAGTGAAAATGAAAAATTGAGACAATTTTATGGTTTGGAACCCCCCTTGGGACATAACAGACACCTATTGTAGGAAAGCCACTGTCACATTTTGGAGAGAATATCTGTGGTCTGTATTGTGGGAGCAGTAGAATATCTGCAATATGTTTTACGTTGCTTCACCTTAGCACATGCTCAGCACACATGCACACATATGGAACATATAGCATGCTCAGAAAACATTGTATACCGCCTTCCATTTCAAGGAAATGTCTCCTCTTCCTCCAACTCTTTCATTAACTAACTCCTAGTTTGTACTGAGATTCTTGATCATATTTATTGCTATATTTCAAGGAGAAATGAGTTCAAGGTTGTATCCAATGGTAGCCCTGCTCAGAGTAGGCCCAATGAAGTTAATTTACACGACTAAATTAGGTTCATTAATTTCAGTAGCTCTATTTTGAGTAGAACTTCAATTCTGCTTTGAAATGAGTGCTGAAAGGATTATAACCAGTCCTGGAAAACACAGCACGAGTTACCAGTGCCTAGCAACTTACTGTGAGAGCTCAGGTTTTCTCAGCTGGAAATTGTGGCATATCCTTAGTGTCATGTATAATGTTATGTTAATTCAGGCCTTTTTAGCAGGATTATAATAAAGATATTGATACCAACATTTCCGGTTAGATGAAGAATGTTGGTATAATCAAAACGTTATTTGTTCAATCTCATGCACTCTTACGAGTACCATGTTTGTTCTAATTTCAGGTATCTGCAAATACAGAAGATTCTTCAATGAGTGGCTATTTATACAGATCAAAGGGCAGCAAAAAACCATGGAAACACCTGTGGTTTGTGATAAAAAATAAGGTGCTCTACACATATGCTGCTAGTGAGGTGAGAAATCAGATCTCACAAGTTAATGTAGAACATTGCATGGTTGAATGAGTGGGATGCTGGGAGTGGAGTCTAAAGGCCTGCTGAGACACGGGGTTTTTCAGGAAATCACTGAAAATAGTGGGGCAGAGCTGCCCTCCAAACACTGGTGGCGCTGTAACTTGCTTGGGTGGAGGCAGAGTCGAGACTCTGTAGACACACTGGTCAGAGCACTGGATTGGTTCTACTGCTGTATCCACTGCCTGCTCCTGCTCTCTGATTAAATAGACAAAATGACATACAAATGGGTGTTGAAATCCCATAAGGAAACCTTAAGATCCATCCCCTGGATCTGGTGCTGCCTTGATATTGCACAAAACACTTTTTTGTATGCTATTGACCTAGACCTCATATTATTTTGCAAATGGTTACAGTAGTTTTCTTTGTAATATTAGGATGTAGCTGCATTGGAGAGCCAGCCTTTATTGGGATTTACAGTTGCTGAAGTCAAAGATGAACACTCGGAATCTAAACTTTTCCATTTGCTGCACAAGAATACTTTATTTTATATATTCAAAGCGGATGACCCCCATTCAGCACAAAAGTAAGTGAGCATTTTTTTAAAAAAATAATGCTAATTAAAAAGTCTCATGATTATTAGTTTTATTAGGGAATTTATAACTATACAGTTTTGTAGAAGTATATACAGGTATGATTGGCCTGTCCATTTCAGTCAGAAGAGGTTCCTCAAGTTCCCTTACAAAGCCTCTGCCCTCCTCACAAACTGCAGAAAATTAGGGAAAGGATTGAAATGCCCCATCCTTGCATTAGGCTTTTGTAGAAAGAACAATCAGGAACTTGCTGCCTCTGCAAAGTGCAGAAGAATGGGAGAGAAAACTACATATTTCTCCCTAGACCGATACATTGGATATCAGCAAGCTGTATGCTGGTTCAAGACTGCATACTGCTCAAAATATACTTTCATTCCAATCTCATGGTTCTTTGCAGTTTTTATTCATGATTTTGAAAGCTGTTCAATAGTGTCTGTATATACTATACTTTTCTGTGTATAAGACTATGTTTTTTTACTCTGAAATAAGGTTCAAAATTGGGGCTCATCTTATACACGGATCGTATCTCCCCCCATTTTCTTAAATCAGACTCCCCCAAAATAGGGGGCATCTTATACATGGGGGCGTCTTATAGATGGAAAAATACGGTACTTTATAAATATTGTGACAAATGGAGTTGAAAGTTTTCAATTATACAAGCTCTGGAAACCATTCTGTTTGCTCAAAATATATTAAATGCTTTTCCTTTTCAAACAGGTGGATAGAAGCTTTTCAAGAAGCCACAATATTGTAGCATGCTTGCTTTGTTACTTAAAGGAAAGAAAGTCCGATGACAAAGTCAATACTATGGTTCTGTTTATTGAAGAGTCATCAGATTTTACATACATCAACCTAAACAAAGCTGGATTGTTCACTGGCGTTAACGTCTTTGTTCAGGAGTAATAATTTTTAAAGAAATGTGTATACTTGTCTTTTTGTCATACAAAAAGTGTTATTTATTAAAAACTTTGTCACTGTTTTACTTAATGGTCAGAATCATTTCTGAGATTCACATTGAATTCCAAAGTGTCCTTGACCTTAGGGAATTTTGTTTGTTGAAAAGTTGTAGCAGGCTGTTGCTCCTTGGTTTGTCATGGGCACAATTTCAGGCTTCCTGTTCAGTTTGCTTTTGGAAAGTTTAAGGAGCAAGGCCTTTCAGCAGGCTCTCTCAGGCCTCTCCTTATGCTTATTTTTAATCTGTGATCATTTGACTGAAATGCTGTCCAGTCTTTCTCAGTGCAAGGTAGATGAATAGTTTCTGAGCCCTTTTTAAGTATACATATAGAAAGATTCATGAACATGTAACACTTCCATATGTGCAGTTAAACTAATTTACTTCCATCGATCATATGCTGTTCTCGGCTTACTCCAGAATAGCACAATGAAACAATGAGTCTGTGTATTCAATTTCACTTCAAAGAGGGCCTGTTAATCCACTTGCAAAAGTCGCCTGTTAATTCCCCCCGCCCTTGTTTTTAAAGGAAAGCTGAAAGGATTATTATTCTACCTGCCCGTGCAACATTACACCACAGATGGTATCAAATCATAAATACCAAAGTGATTTTAAAAATAATATTCATTGTATTTTCCTGAAGTGTGAATTAGATCATTGAAGCAGGAAAAAGCTTGTTTTCAGCATGAGAACTTTTCCTTGACACATGCTTCCCCACAGAAACAAAAGAAGGTCACATACATACTGTGGAATATGATAGCTAGGGGCTTATCAGGGGATTTTTAAATTTTTGTACTATTTTAACACAAACTGAAACTGGAATTCTAGTATCAAGAATGCACAATATTTTTGAGGAATAACATTGATAAGGAATGTCATTCATTCTAGTTTTCATTCACAATTTGATCTGCTGGACACGTCAAAAATTCTTTCTATTGTATTTTTATATTAGCAAACTGTTACTTAAAATGAAAGCACTCAATTAGTAATTGTATATTTATTTAATAGTTGGAAAATGTGTGTATATAATAATTGAAACTAGTACTACTACAATGTAGGACAAGTCAGGGAAATATTATTTAGAACATTAGGAAGGTGGGTAATTATGCAATTCTTGTATCTACGCTGAAAATATCCTGGTGGACATTTCAGAATAGGATACTCTGGTGTTCACCAAGTTGCTTGTTCACATCATTGTTCTTAATTATTTTTACAACGTGGAAGAAGAATAAAATATCTGTTGAGTTTTTTGTTTGCTTCTAGTACAAGGGTTGTTGTATCAAAAGCATCACTAACAGAAAAATTGCCTTGCTGCCAAAGATGAGCATATATGGTCCCAAAGATTTTGCTTTATCTTTGGGAATGTGTATTTTTTATTTTTAAATATATTGGCTGGCCTAGGTGGGATAAAAAACAAGTGATTTCATGTTAGTAGGTGTCTATTTTCAAAGGGGAAAATTCAAAACAGAGGAACTACCGTATTAAAATGGTTTCTTAACTGAGGAGCTATTCTGTATAGTCCAGCTTTCCCCAGCTGGTGCCTTTCAGCTGTTGTTGGACTACAGCTTCCATGATCCTTGACCATGCTGGCTGGGACTAATGAAAATTGGGAGTCTAGCAACATCTGGAGTGCACGGGTTGAAGGCTGGTACACTCTGCTCTCGCCCTACAGTCCCATTTTGTCTTGGACCATGTACAGTGTGTGCTATACACTACATTTTTTGCCCAACAGTGAACCCCAAGGTTCCATAAGAGTTCTTAATAAGCAGGAAGAATGATAGCAAAATACCAAGGAGCTTGCTAGTATAGGAGTTTCGCCTAAAGCAGAAGTGGGAAGCCACTTTTAGCTCAAGGGATGGAATCCCAAAATGGCCAACTTTCTGCAGGTCTTATTGACAGCTGGGTGGGGCCACCCATGTGCCAATTACCTGGCATATTATATCAGTTGATATGAAATATTGAGAGCACACTTTAAAGTAGTATTCATCAACCGTGAGTCCCCAGATGTTGTTGGACTACAATACCCATAACCTCTGACCATTGGCTAAGTTTGCAGGTGAAGATGCGACTTGTAGTCCAACAGCACCCAAGGTTGAATAATACTGCTCTAAAGTTTGAGTGTACTCCCAGTTCCTCCTTCACAGCCATGCCCTGATTTTGAGCCTTTTTTCTGAAAAAGGCACTGCGTTCAAAAAGCATGGAAGTCAAGTGTGACTACAAAGGAAGAATTGGGAGCACACTCGGAGACTTGAGGCTGATATAAGTTGCAGCCCCAAAACAGCTGGACAGCACTTGGTTGGCAGAGGCTGCTCCCGAGTATTTGAAAAGAAATGTAAGACGGCAAATACCACTACCATTATGAACCAAGTAACTAACAAGATGTGGTTGCAATCTAGGCAGCCCCTTTAGCCTTGTGTGAGGGTGCTGGGCCTTTTCACTCTTCCCCCTGCTCTTAATAGAAGCATCTTGGTGCTGAATCTGGAAACATTTTGAAGTATAGTTCAGAAATGGCTTGGTCAGTAGAGCTGCCATTAGCGGGAAGGGAGAAATGAATCAAAAGATGTTCTGTGCACAATGTTGTTGCAAGATGACCTTCTGGGTTCTGATTTATTTAATTACTACTGCTGTGGTCTGGTTTAGAGGGAGTTGATATAGTTATAGTGATTTACTCCTTGTCAAGTAGATGCTATAGAATAGAGCAAGCAATATTGTTTCCAATTAAGTGTCTGCAAAAAAAGGAATGTGGTATGTTTATGTAATCCCTTAACAATTTTAGAAATATGCTTAACAGGTTTCAGTGATCTCAAGTGTAGAAGTGTCACAGAATGTAAGAGGCACTGACAGTTTTGTTTCAACTACTGTTCTATAATTTTTCAAGCACTCTTATAGATTGTACTGACAATAACTGAATGAACAGAACCTTTAATGTTGAAAATTAAAACAACTGAAAGTAATCAGAAATACGTAGTTACGTTTTTATCAAAATAAATTTGAAGTGTCTCCCTCGCCCAGTGGCAAATGAGTAAAAGCAGTCTCCTAAATATAATAAACACTGTGTGTGCATTGATAAAATACACTTACCTGCTTGCCCAAAATATTTCGGCCACTAAATTTGGATTTGACAGCCATATGGCTGACAGTGTTTCTCTGCCCCCTGTGCACTTCTTTCTGAAGAAACCTAGCTTGGGTCCTGTAATGAGATGCCTGCAAATCAGTCACAGTTATGGAGTTTGTGTGTATTTTAAAATACAACAGAGATGTGCTATACCTGGGCGTATTTCTGGCAGTTTCTACTGCACTGTCAGCCCCCAGGATCCTTGCTGCTCTTTTTAGCAGCCATTTACTTAGAAGAGCCTTGTAAAATAAGTAATTTATAAATAAAATGTTGTAATTTTTGTTTAATTACTGTACACTTGTCTTCATTATTTTTTTTAAGCCACCAAGGAAGTATTTATTGATGGGTGGCTATATAAATTTAATAAATAAATAAATAAATAGAATAAGACCATACTAGTCTACAAAATGTTTTATTAGTCTTCCAGGGCCAGGCAAAAGAGGGACAGAGTTTTGCATTTCTATGTTGGCCATGGAGGGGTGGTCCCTCTTTTGGCAACCCACTTGGTTGCTAAGTTGGACACAGAGGGACAAAGCAATCCATCCCTCCTCAAACAGCCTGACACTCACACCCCTCAATACAATTCCTTGTCTATCACTTAAATACAAGGCTACGCTACAGCGTATACCACTACATAGGGACACGGGTGGTGCTGTGGTCTAAACCACCAAGTCTCTTGGGTTTGCCGATTGGAAGGTCTGCTGTTTGAATCTGCAGGACAGGGTGAGCTCGCGTTGCTGTCCCAGCTTTTGCCAACCTAGCAGTTCAAAAGCATACCAGCACAAGTAGATAAATAAGTATCGCTGTGTCGGGAAGGTAAATGGCGTTTCCGTGCACTCTGGCACTTGTCACGGTGTCTTGTTGCACCAGAAGCGGTTTAGTCATGCTGGCCACATGCAGCATGTGGAAAGCTGTCTGTGGACAAACACTGGTTCCCTTGGCCTGAATCAAGATGAGCACCGCACCCCATAGTCACCTTTGACTGGACTTAACCGTCCAGGGGTCCTTTTACCTTTTTATATCACTGCATGCAGTGGCTACATAGGACTATGTATGTTCTACAGTAGTTTAAATCCTGGGACTCCCCAGATTGTCCCTTTCTCTCCTAACAGTATCTGCTGCCTAGGAAGATGGGCTTATCACTACCCACATCCATTCAATACACTGAAGATATAACCATTGTTAGCAGGAGGCTGATGAGGTCAGTACCCTCAAGCCATCTTTGGGGTGCTTCCCTAATTTCCACTCCTCAGCAAAAAACGAGAGCTCTGAAAGAATTGACTGAGGTGTCAAGGGGAAGAGAGGAAAAATGATTGACTATAGCTCTTAATATATTGGCTATGCTGGAGCATGAGCAAGACAGAAGATGTATGTACGATACAGATTGAAACATATAAATACATTGCGTTGGGCAAGCACAAATCTCTTCCTAGCTGCCACTGCTTATAGCAGGAGCTGGGGACAAACAGGAATGCAGTTGCCCTCATGTCTTACATTTAAGTTTCCCATGTGGATCTGATAAGCCACTGCTGGGAAGCAGAGTGCTGAACTAGATGGAGCCAAGTGACTTGCACTCACATCGTGCACAACCAGGGCTTTTTTTCCAGCTGGAACTCAGTTCCAGCACCTCTCAGGCCCCCCCGGCCATTGACATTATAAGAGAACAAGGGAGGTGTTCATGATGAGTTCTGGCACCTCTTTTCTAGAATAATAGCACTGTGCACACCTAAATCCAAAACACTACACTATCCGCTTATTGCTGCAACATCTGTTTTTCTGTTTTTCTGAAGGCAGACTACTGGCTGATCCAAGTGACCTGCTCAAGTTCATAAGCAGGTCAACAGAGCTCCCAGGTGTATTTTTCAATTAAATCATGAATGACAATGGCCAAGTCTATCTTCTGAAGGAGAATTTTTTACTCCCAGATAACTGTGTACAAGATTGCAGTCTTGCTCACCATCACCTAAGCTTCCCAAAGCAGCAGCACACTGAAGCTGAGGAGGTGAGGGAATACATCTACATCAAAGGTAAACTGCACACCCATCCCTGGCTCACCTGCTTCCCAAGCAACAGTACTACTTGATTGTTTACTCACATTTAGATCTCCAGAGGTCCCAAGCAGATTCGGTTTTTACAGTGACTCATTAAGGGGCAAAGTACTGTTATAAGAATTCTAAGGTCTCAAATATAAATTAAATGTTCATAAATGTACAAGGCAAACACATACATAAGTACATAAACCAAGTGTCTGAAATACCGGTAATACAGGAGAGCAATCCTGAAGCCATTTTGACTCTCCCAATGGCCTCAAATATTCCTCTGCTGTAAGGGAGGCAAATGGGGAAAGCCTTCCCATTGTCTTTTTCCTTGCAAATCCTGTCTTAAGGCCACATTTGTGTATGAATAGGGTGAGCCTGTGATCTGGATTCAGGAACTCAAGTATTAGCCATCACAAAAGAATGGCCAGACTGCCCAGGTAATGCAATCGGTGACCATTATCAGGTACCTATCTTGGCAAACAGGATTTCTGCTGTAGGCCGCCTCCTTCTGTGATGTATGTATGATGTTTCAGGGGGGTGGTCTTGGACTACAGGGTGGGCAATTTCAAAAATCTATATAAGGACTTGCGCACCATTGTACAGGGTTCTCCTTCCTCCTGCGTGTGGTGAGTAAGGACCCTGTTGCAACAGTTTCTTTAATAGATAAGGCTTGCTAGCCACTTTGCTTCTCAATATACTCTGGTTGGTCTGTTACTTTCTCCTACTGATAGGGAACCTTAGGAGGACTCTACGGTCTCTGGAATACCCCATAAGGGGAAAGGAGCAGGGTTTTTTTCTTCTAACAGTACCCATGTCACAAGTTGTGTATTTTTTCATTATATTACATGTTAAAATGGTGTCATGTTTGTTTAATTGCAAGTTGCTTTGAGCAAGGTAACATAACTGAAGAATATCATCATCATCATCATCATCATCATCATATCTCTTGAAATTAGGCCTAAGTACATGTAATGGTATGGGCAGGGGTACCTTTACCTTTACCTTACATGTAATGGTACTGAATGCCCCTGCTTACTCAATGACTTCTGTCCTTAAATCCCTTTATTGTAAGATTACATTTCAGTGTGTCTACTCTGATCAGCACTAAAACGGGATGCAACCCATAACCTGCTCTAATAATTGCATACCAATACAGAACATTTTGTTTATAATAAATATGCTAATATTCTAAATATTTTTTATTGTTTTTTGTTTGGTTAGCGCAGTAAACGGCTAAATACTGAAACCCCAACAAGGCAGGCTACGTGCACCCTTTTACAAGGGGGGCTGGCTTTTGGCCCTTCAGATGCTGTTGAACTACAACTCCCATCATTCCTGTCCGTTGGCCTTGCTGGCTGGGGCTGACGGGAGCTGGAGTCCAAAAGCAACAAAAGCCCTGAGAGCAAAAAACCCTCTCCGAGTCCGGTTAGATTCGGAAGGGCTGTTCTAGCTGCCGTACCCGCCCGTCCCAGCATCGCTATGACAACTTCGGGGTGTGTGTTTGGGGGTTTCTTCTCTCCCTCCTCCCCCTCTCTCCCCGCCGGCCCGGTGACACTCGCCCCGCCTCCGCCATGGGCTCGCTTTGCGCAAGCGCAGCCGTGCTGATGCTGGTGGCGGCGGCGGCAGCTGCGGCGGCGGTTGGGGGAGGGGAAGGCAGAACGGCGTTACGCCACGCGAGAGACGGGGCTGGACCGAACGCGGGGAGCGGGGTCACGAACTCTGACCTCCCAGATCCGGACCCGCCACCGACAAATTAAACCCCAAGGAGCTGCTGCTGCGCCGCGGCTGTCAGGTATGACGCGGAGAGGGCAGCGGGGAGGAAAAGGAGGGGCTCCGGCGGCGCTGCCCGAGGCCTTCCCGGTGCGCCTGGGCCTCGGCTGGCGCCTCAGGGAGCCTCCTCGGCGGCGCCTGCTCCGTGCCCTGAGGCGGCGGCGGCGGCGGCGGGAGGGCGCCGTTCCCCATGTGGCGGCGGTAGCAGCAGCAGCAGCTCCTCCTGCTGCCGCCGCCGCCCCTCTGACCTTTCACCCACAGGAAAGGCTTGCGTCTCCCCTCCCCGGATCCTAGCCGCGCCCCGGGACCCGCTCCTCTCCTCTCCGCAGGCCCAGGGCTCTCCTGCGCCGAGGCTGATGGAGCCTGCGGGGCACGCAGCCCGGCCGCCGCGCCAGGTGGGAGCGGGTGGCGGCGGCGGCGGCGGAGGTGCTCAGTCTGGCCCCGCAGCAGCCATTTTGTGCGAGCGAGTGACAGCGGGCTGGGCCCTCACCGCGCTGCCCCGGTCGCTCCGGCAACAGCGCCCGCCTGCCTGCCTCCCTCTGGCCTGCCTCTGGTCCTTGGCTGGAACCTGAGGCCTTGTGGCCTCTCAAACGGCAGGTGAAGGCGGCGCGAGGAGCTTGGGCGTGTGACGTAGGAAGCCTTACCCCGAGTAGTCACACCGCAGGCCCTTTCTAGCTCAGTATTATCTACACTGACCGGCACCGGCCCTCCAGGGTCTTCTGCACAGGGGGCATTTCCTCCTTTTGAGATGCCGGGGGGGGTAGGGGGGTTGCACCAATGGACCTTGTGCACGCGAGGCAGATACTGCGGCACTTCCTCGTCTTTTACAGTATGCTGTACTAAAGTTACAGGTGGAGGAAACTCACCTGGTTGAAGGATCCTCCGTACAAAAGCGACAACAGAAGCTCCCGCACGTGGGTGTTCAGTGTTCGCGGGGGGGGGGGAGAGGCTCTGCCCTCGCCTTGTCTCTTGTGTGCCAGTTTTCAGTGTACTTTTCGCAGGGGAGTGCTCAAATATTTATAGCGCCTGTAGTCTAGAGCCGGGTTTACCACTTACAAAAATGCTGCTTATGAAAATACAGCCCATGTGGTAGCCACTAGTCATCCTTTGTTCCATAATTTTGGATGATAAACCAATAATGGAAAGATAGATCATTATTTTCCTCCTTGACCCTTTCATATACATCTGTTTGTGTGTGCAATGGTGGCTCCTTTGAATAGGGAGTGATAGCTTTATTTGGCCTTGGTTCATTCCTATCTGTGCCCTTCCGTTATTATTTTCCTGTTTGACATACTGGAGAGGCTCGTGGCCCTGGGTGCGGTATTTTTGGTACAGTGAAAAGGAAGGGCATTCCTTTTGCCATGAGAGAAAGTGACACTAACAGCTTTCCCTGTCTTTCAATTTACCCTTCTTAACGGGTCTTGTCAGATGGTGTGACTAAGTGGCTGGAAAACTGAATTTTATTTGTAACTTGCAAT